AGTTAATATCGGTCGTAAATGCTTGTATTATTCTACACTTGGCTAATACAACATTACCTCGATGGTTCAAAGTGTGTTTATCATTTGAGTAATACATATAACTGTTTATCATTACGGGTAGCTATATTATTCGAGGTACGTGCATATTTTAACTTTCTTTGCAACATTTCTTTATACTTTCAGCGGGATTGTGTTGCCTTTTCCCCCTTACATTTATTTCTTTGCCAGTAAATGTCGTCTCTCAGCTAACCTCATTTCGTCAAATTATTTTCTTTGTTTTGTCTGTTATTTTTTTTTAGTGTTTTTTTTTTTTACTCTTACAGTATATAGTGTATAAGTAAATATTCGTTTACCGGATTTCCTTTTAAAGGTACCGTGCCGCTGACCTTCGCTTATTGTTCTTATCTTTGTCTTACATAGCAAAAGTTATTATCTTTCAGTTTATACCACATTCAGGATGTGAAACGCGTAAACGGTATAAATAAAAAAATAAATAAAAATTGTATTTTCCTACGTGCCGTAAAAGAATTCAATGATTTACATAATATCACGCGTACCCCAATGGGTCCCTTTTGAATGAGGATATTTTTAGTCAAGTTTAGACAAACTTCTATACTATTACGATCATATTTTGTTAACAATTCTTCATCAATGCATTACAAAATCGTTTATCAAACGAAGTGACGTAATAAATCTTTACAAATTTATATTAAAGCTCGTTTATAGTATAAACATTATCTCTGACCAAAACATATTGTCGCCATTCGTTGGATTCAGTTCCCGTGAAATCTCGTTAATTCAAGTATGTATGATCATTACAAGAACTTGTCTTCAACCCTGTAACTGGTGAGATAGGCAGTAGTCGATAAAGGGACCGCGGAACCAAATGATTTTCCATAGACGATAGTGTTAACGTTTACCACTGTCCTGGTTAAATGGGGTTATCCACACTGGTTTACCTGACCTCATTTGGAAGAATAGCATCTCATACAACTGTAAAAAAAATATTACAAATTTCTGCCAATTTGAACTTTTTTATATAGGGGCTGCCATCTTGTATTAAATTCGGCACCAAAAATCGATAAAAGACTTCGCACGCTAATGATTGACATAAATTTAAGTTATTCGAATTTTGAATCTTTTCATACCAATAAACTTATAAAATTTATGACATAACAATACTATTTACCGCAGTTTTTCCGACTAATTGCACCACGATAACTTTAACATTAAAAATAAACTGAAATGGTTAATAAAAAGGTCTTAATTTTCAAAATACATGCATTGTTGGAGAATCCAACTACTTTATAAGAAAAAAAGACACATTGTATAGGCTCTAAAAAATCGAAAGCAAAGATTTCAGTAACAAGTCATCCAAATAACAACCCAAAAGTAATTATCATTTTACCCCGATGAAACTGCACAAAAGATTGGTATTTTGTATTAAATGTGCAAATAGATTTTTTTAGAAACTCACATAAAATAACATTTAATCATAATGTTCCGGTCTAACTAATATGAAAGAAGAAGCACGGGAATCACGCCAAGAGTCTAAACTTGTTCACGCTTCGTGATGTTTATTAACTGTTACATGTGATATTTCGAAACATTTTCTTATGAAAAGTTCTTTTTTAAACAACCAATGATATGTTCTATGTGACATTTCGATGACTAGTACGATATGTACACTGTTACCTTCATCAGTATTTGTACCGAAATGACCCGATTCAGCTACGCTTTGTTCCATACATTGTCATAGATGTGCGAGATTCTTTCAGCCCCCTCGTCTCGTTTTAGAACTGGCACACTGCGGCGTATCCAGATGACTTCCTTGAACAGATTGCTCTCTCTCTCTCTCTGTCCAAAACTTTGGAGTTATCCCAGTCAATCCCATGATTTTTCTTTGTGGCATGATCTGTGTTTGCCGATTTATTTATTTATCTGGGACTCAGAAGCATTCGGAGGCTCCTTTATAAGACAATACACGGAAACATTAACAACTGCTGCTTAAGATATAAATGTGACTGTTGTAATCTCAGGATTTGTTATTAGCAAGAGCCACTATTTCTACGCGGGAAGTCCAAATGGTATTACCAAGATAGCTGATGGAAAAACAGGGCTTCTCCGAGAAATGAAAAACCTATGTAATACAAAAGCAATCAACCTGGCACATACTTTGAATGCTGTACATAATTGTTACTATCAAGATCACGGTGTGATAGAAGTCATCAATATGTCGCTGAATTGATTGAGTTGTAAGGACCTATGTCCACAGAAAGGATACTCAGAGATCACGAACATTGTTTCCTGAAAGGCATTACCGAGGGAAATAGCACGTTGAATCAGTGAACCAGGTCTATGGATAAAATGATATCGTGTTCATTGCTACTTGTTGAAAATGGATAACAACTCATGAAATCAGTGTATCTAACAAGGGTAGTTTCAATTATTTGTTATAAATAAGAACGTGGGGTAAACAATTATTTATTATCAAAAGATTTAGGGCCAAGGCCGGTTTCATATTTTTTATATACTTTTCATTTCTTGTTCATCAACAGGAAAGTTGCTTTACTCTGTGATTTTGACAAAGATAACTTATACTGAAATACAGAAATACCTTGTCGGTAAAAGGTAAGCAAATGTTTAGTTTATTTCATTTCACTTTTCTATATGTTTGCAGTTTGAAATGCAACACCTAAGTTAACCTTCATAAAAAGGATCCAATCGATGGGGCGACAGACGAGTGTATCCACATCAAAGGAAGCAAAGACTGCCAAGAAAGATGCTCATCAGCAAAAACCCTCCATGAAGAGGCAACTAATAATCACCTTGTATAAAGTACTACTTGTATTACTTACAATATACATGTACCTATACAATGACAATATATAAAGCTACCAATCTATAAAACAAAGTAACTTGAGGACACACAGATATAAGATGGAGTCAGCATTCTATCACTAGTTTTGAGTTGTTGGGTGGGGAAATTCCGACCGGAAGATGTTGAATAAGACCAGTAAGAGTAAGGAATGGTCCAGTGAGAGTGTAGCAAAAGTAAGGAATGGTCCAGTGAGAGTGTAGTAAGAGTAAGGAATGGTCCAGTGAGAGTGTAGTAAGAGTAAGGAATGGTCCAGTGGGAGTGTAGTAAGAGTAAGGAATGGTCCAGTGAGAGTGTAGTAAGAGGAACCGACACTTATGAAGCTTTAACATACAAAGTGTTTTAGGACGACGACGGGGAAGTAAACGTAGTTACGAGTTATTACAGAACCCTACTGTATCCGAAGTGAGGTTCCTTGAACTATAATTGGACATACGTGCATGATGCAAGATAAAATGTAAGTACTAACGCCAGCGTCCTTGATAATATCCATCCGTGAACATTCATTCGGGTCTAGTATCAAATATTAGACATAAAACAACGAGGTCTCACGATAAAATAGGTTTCCGATTGTTACCAGAGGCCGAGAGGGCCTGTTTTGTTTACTTTGATTTTAAAGCAATTAATGCAACATATTCTCATTAAAAGAAGTATTTCAAGATCCTAGAGGTAGGACAAGTCCCGGGGGCCACTCCTGGTAGGACAAGATATTCTATATTGTCCAAATGTGTGTTGCAAAATGTCGGAAATCTTAAATGTATCCTTGTTATTATCCAAGGACTAGATTATAAAGGGTTATGGCAGAACCCAACATCTTGTAGCAAAATTGTGTTCGTTTCTTTATGTCGAGTAATAATATGTCTAATTAAGGAGTGGGCTTCTCAATCAACTTCATTGAATCTTAATTCCGAAGTTTTGGCTCGGGGTTACGTCACCAGGGTTGGAATAGACCTACAGGTAAATCATGGTAGCATCTCTGTATGAGCTTGTTCGTGCCTAGCAATTAGGAATATGATAGGGACCTCAACCGTTTCAGAATTATAACTAATGATTTATGTCACGAAGTATAGGGCCAGTCTGTAGGCAAGTCACGGTAGTTACGTGTATTCTCCTCTTCATACTCAGCAATTGTATATATGGTTATAAGGTGGGGAATTCAAATTTTATCGTGTTCTGAACCAGGGATTAAGTCTCTGCGGTGGGGCAAACCCAGTGGCCGGTCACAATATCAACTCTGTATTTGAACGTCAATGCACAGCAATCGCAAAAATGGTCATAGGTCGAGGATCTCAACTGTGAACCAGAAACTAAGAGAACCCAGAGTCTATTTTAATATCATCATTGTGTTTCTCACTATAAACCTGATATCTTGTATTTTTACACACAGCAATGGTTTATATGGTTATGGTACATGTAATTGGGATAACGTATTATCATGAGAGGGCTTTTCTCGTATTTGTTTTGCTTTTGGGTAAAGATTTAATAAGACCTGCACAGCCAGTTTAATGACAAGCTGACCGAGGATATTAACAAGAGAGCTTGATGTTTTAAATATAACTTAATTTGGGAGACACAACATATAGCATAGAACCCAACAGAGTGCGATTGTTGCTACCTCATGTCCCACGGAACACAAAAATGTCCCACGGGACACAAGAATGTCCCACGGGAAACAAGAATGTCCCACGGGAAACAGGAATGTCCCACGGGAAACAAGAATGTCCCACAGAACACAAGAATGTCCAACGGGAAACAAGAATGTCCCACGGTAAACAAGAAGACGCTTCCTCATGTCCCACGGGAAACACGAATGTCCCACAGAAAACAAGAAGACGCTACCTCATGTCCCACGGGAAACAAGAATGTCCCACGGGAAACATGAAGACGCTACATCATGTCCAACGGGAAACAATAAGACGCTACCTCATGTCTCACGGGAAACAATAAGATGCTACATCATGTCCCACGAGAAACAATCAGACTCTACCTCATGTCCCACGGGAAACAATAAGACGCTACCTCATGTCCCACGGGAATCGTCCAAAGGCATAGGTTTGTATAGCGTAAAAGTCAAGTGTTCTGATAGAAGAAACATTTTTGAGAAAAGAATATTCCACAGGTGTTGTTTTTTTTAATCAATTTTTATTGTGGATATTTAGATGCATAATATTATAATATACTGTATACTTCTTAGCATAATAATACATTACACTGCAGAACAATATATATAATTACAAAGGAGAATGATGAAAACAAATTATCTCTGCCAGAATAAACTTCGGCCCTCATTAGTATGCGGTTATTATAAGATACACGCGTGCTATTGCTCCTATGAAAGTTGGTAATTAAAACAATTAATAATTAACAAAAACGTTTCCATAAGCTGTTTCGTCCTTCTAACTACAGATATACAAATAGACATAGCACGTGACCATTATTGTATAGTATCCATTTTTCAAATAGGTCAATTTTGTTAAATCAAATAATTCTTTGTCGGGAAATGCATGGTTTCCTCACCACATAAACAATAAAAAAATAAGCTCTAAATATTGTACATTTTATCATACATTGTATCTTGACCATATGTAAGATGAACTTCATGCTCAATATGTTATCAAGAATAAGCAAAGCATTTAAAAAAAAATAAAAAAATATCCTGACATATACATGTCTTTCTTGACTTCATAGATATGATATGTGTGTTGGTTTAACACATCACACAAGAGCACATACATTTTCCTAATTCTGCAACAGTAGACAAACTGTTTAAACAGAAATAACACCTTATAAATCATGCAATGGCAGTTTGACAACAATGAAGCCTTCAAAGTATTGATAGGGACGAGATACTAAACTTAAATATGGTTCGTCTTCAACTCATTTGTCTAACGTCTACAAAAAAATGGTTATAAGTGAATATAAATAAAATACAAGTACATGTGTTTCATTTTCTTCCTTGCCTTAAAGTTGGGGGAATCTGCCGCTTTGTATCTGAACAGAACATATTTTGCTTTTCTACGACCTGTATGCCGACAAGAGAAAATAATTGTAAATCCTTTGAAACTAATTTTAATTAGATTGTAATAATTTGGTAAGAAAATTAGGTAAAACGTTTGTGACTATGTCAGATATTTTAACTCAGTGGTATAAAGACGGCGGAATCCCTAGCAATGGTGTTGGATATAATTCTCAAATGTTCAATTCCTGGCAGCTGACCTGGGGTCTTTGCCGACAGTTTACTTCTTAACGACGTCCTTAATGAGTCCAACAGCCACGGTTTGTCCCATGTCTTGGACAGAAAAACGTCCCAGGGGAGGGTATTCGGAGAATCTTTCAACACACATTGGCTTCAATGGAACAAGCTTAGCTATGCAACCATCACCAGCTTTGACGGATTCAGGTTTTTTTTCTATAGATTTTCCGGTTCCGCGATCATATTTGTCAAGTAATTCGACGAACTTGCAAGCAATATGCGCCGTGTGACAGTCGATGACAGGAGAATAGCCGGCTTTGATAGTTCCGGGATGATCGAGGATTATAAGCTGCAAATTGATTATTTGATCGATTAACTGTCTTATTGATCAATTATGTCATACATTCATCAATCAGATGCAGTGAACTTTTATTGTTCATCATCACAAAGATATACCTTTAGAAGTAGATATTTTCTCGATGTTTATTTTTCGCTGATTCGGTTGTACTTAATCAGCGGGTATATATGCACACGCGGCCATTACAAACCATTAAAACACACGTAATTCAACAGCATTGTGAACGTATCGTCTTCTACAGTATGTTTAACAAGAAAAATAAAAAGTCAAAAACGGTTTTTTTAAGAATGTCCATTTATGTATATGAAACAGTGCTACGTTCATATTGTCCGTAATCTTACCGATGTACGGATTAAGGACAATATGAACGTAGCTCTGTGACTCACCTGGGCGATGAAACTTTCCACCTCCTTTGGTGGATCATTAGTGCTATCCCCAGCCACATCTCCTCTATTGAGTTCTTCGGACACATTCTTCACATTGAACTGAACGGTGTCCCCTGGCAAAGCTTCTGGTACCTGTTGGCGATGCATCTCCAATGATTTCACTTCAGTTGTCAGGTTTTGTGGAGCAAATGTGACGACCATTCCGGGTTTGATAATTCCAGTCTCAACCCTTCCTTCAGGAACTGTTCCTATACCTAAGGTAAAGAAAAAGCAAAACACTGCTTACCATCGCATTTTCAAAGAGTATTGTTGAATTATCTACGAATAACAAAGAAAGGGTAAGAATGTTTACAAATCACTTAATCCTTTGAATAGCCAGCATCGCATTTACCCCCACCTCAACGCATGTAAGATACATGTGTCCCATAAGTAATATCTATGTTGAGAAACACCCAGTCATTGTTACTATTACGCATTCACAATCAGAAATAAGATGACGACTCTACATTGATACGTCACCATTAGAATCTGTCAAAACCTTGTTTAATTATTTTGCTATTGAGAAATATACCCTCTCACCAAGGGAGAGCAGGTGACCTGGGGGGATAATGAAATTTACAATTTAGGTAATGGTAGTTTTTTAATAAGGACATTTCTATCCATGAACAGTATAACATCTGAGTCTGATCAAGAAGATTTTTTTAAACTTTTAACCATTATCCCCATTTGGATCCCATCCCTCCAGCCCCTGGGGATAGGACAGGGTTTTTTCATACTATCTTATTGCCATCTGGCATCATAATCATTTCAACCAAGTTTGAATAATTTCCTGCTGAAAATGTACAAAATATTCTCAAAAGTGTTATTTCCCTATATAAACTAAAGTCAACTTGACCCCGTACCTAAGCGAGAATGGATGGGCCAGGGGTAATTAAATTGATAAAAAAGATAACGCCCCTGACGGAATTTTCATCCATGCACAGAATTTGGTTGTACTACATCTAAGTCTGAAATAGAAGATTTTTGAATTATTGGTTAATATTCCCTTTAGGGCCCCGCCCTGGCCCCTTGGGGTTGGGGAAGGAATCCCAATTTTACAGTTTGGTACTATCTTCCTCCAAGGTTAATCTGACCAAGTAAGATTAATTTCCTACCGGAAATTGCAAAAATATACCCAAAAGTTGTATTTCCCTATATAAGCTATAGTGAATTTTACCCCCTCCCCAAAGGAGAACGGATTGCCCGGGGGTACTGATATTTACAATTTAAAAAAAGCCCCTGAGGATCTTTCCATCCATGTAGAGAAATTGACTGTAGTGCATCTGAGTCTGGAGAAGAAGACTTTTGAAATATTGGTTAATTTTCCCTTTAGGGCCCCGCCCTGGCCCCTCGAGTTGGGGCAGGTATCTCAATTTTAAAATTCTGTTGCCTCATCTACCAAGGATGATTCTGATCAAGTTTGATAAAATTCCATTTACTGGTTCTTGAGAAGAAGTCGATAATGTAAAAAGTTTTCGCACGACAGACGACGACGGACGTAAAGCGATCAGAATAGGTCACTTGAGCAATGCTCAGGTGACCTATAAAACTCTGCATTACAGTGTACATGTACATATCAGACATTCTTACCGGCAATTTTATGAACATCCTGAAGAGGCAAACGAAGTGGCTTTGTCACTAGACGCTCCGGTGGGAGGATGGCATCAATAGCCTCGAAAAGGGTCTGACCAGTTGCTAGTTCTTTTTTTCTTTCAATAGACCAATTCTTCCACCAAGTCATATTCGCACTAGGTTCCAGCATATTGTCACCAAGCAAACCGGAGATGGGCACAAAGGCGACCTCTTGCGGGACGTAGCCAATTTCCTTGAGGTAGCTACTCAATTCACGTTTAATTTCTTGATATCGCCCCTGCAAACACATAGTCCTTTCGATATTATTCAAACTTTTTAACATTCCAAATTTAAAAATGACGATAACTATGACTTATTTTAGATATATTTTTTTCTATAACATAATTAATCATATATTTTCTGCTTATTTTTTAATCACTATTTTGGAGTGTTTTTGTGAGTTACGGAGCATTTATTTTAGTAATTGATTTGTTGGATTAATGGCTTACTAAATTGTTATCTTTACGCAGCCAATTACACAACAAAGTAGTGCCGTATATCATCCATCTTTACGCAATGATTAGCTGATAAAAGAGTCTGTGTAACGATTCTCTGGGATGATTATTTCAACATTACCAGAGAACACAGAAATCAGGGTCAATGATATTGAGGTTCATTGAGTCAATTTTGATTTGGTTAGATACCATCATTGTTAGTTAAACAGAGTTTTTTCTCAGTTTTCAGAACGGAACGGAACTGACACGATAAACACACTGTCTTTCGTAGTTGTCATGTTCTTTTTGTGATTGACTACAACCTACTCATGGTAGTTGTTGACCCCATCCTCGATACTCCATGGGTTACGCTTACTTTCATTCTCTATACCCCTGAAATATGTTATAGCAAATCAAAGGCTCAGTTTGTAATTCCTTGTCGAAGAGACGAGAAGACTAGTTTGATCCTTTGATGCACTTCAAAAGAATCTGTAGGTCGCGTAACGGTAACATTGACTGGCTTTGAAGTCAAGTGCTGCTCCTCTGTAATCTTCAACGGACAGGTATCCACCTTAGGGGTTTGTCAGGTTTTTGAACTCAAATTTGGTAAGACATATTCCAGGGGGGTAGAGAGCGACAGTGAGAGTAACCCCTGGATATCGAGGATATGTTAACCAATAATCCAACAACTACCTTCTTATTGTCATATTTCAAATACTTACATCAAATTATTATTCCAACTAATATGTGTTTAATCATATATACAAATGCAGCATCATTTACCAATACAATGTTAAGTTGAAATGTATATCCTGCAAGTAGGGCGTACGAATTGTACCTGCTGCCCCCATTGCATGATCGTAAGAGGCGACTTAATTTGGGATCTTATCTTTTCTCTTCTTTCTAAACAACTTTCTTCTTAATGTCTCCTTTTACAATGCCTCACTTTTGGCCTTAAGTTGAGTGTTCGCCCCTGTGAGGAAGGCTTTTGGTTCTGTCCCCCGGCCTAGACATATCAGAGTCTATAAAAATGGTAGTTTCTACTCCTGCTTAACGCTCAGCAATTTAGGAATGGGACGACTGGTTCTCCCGTTGTCAGTATAATGTGACCGGGTGGGGTGTCCTGCTTAGTGTCTTCGGTAGTATATTTCACTGAGGTAGTACTGTAAAGTCGGCATCAGTTTCGCGCTATCACAAGGAGACAAACACGAAAATATTGCAGCCTCCCAAAACACACACGCATACACTGCACGCATGCAGGGGAGGCCGTCCTTAAAAGACCATAGCTCGTTAAACAATACTAAACCAAACCAAACCAATCATTGGTGTAATGATTTAAGAAATAATGACTCAAACATTTTACGCCTAAATTCTATCTCTAATTCCAAGACCCTTTCGCAAGTGATTACAGCTCAATGTCGCCAACTTAATTTTATATATTTTGCTATATTTTATATCATTACAAATGTTAAACCTAAAGAACAGGCGTAGTTACAAATAAGTATGGGTATGAAGGACATGCTTTAAGTAAATTGAAACATAATGATGAACTGTACGATACAAATGCAATCACACACTGGCTACCTCAGAGTAGAGTGGCTCTGTAACGTCCATCTTAGTAATAGCGACAATCATCTGTTTCACACCAAGGGTATGAACCAGACGGATTTGTTCTCGTATCTGGCCGTTCTTTGAAAAACTCTCCTCAAACTCTCCTGTCAGAGCAGCAACGACGAGAACGGCGCAGTCAGCCTGATATGCTCCTTAAAAGTAAATAGTCATAACAAGTAATTCCTTTAAGACATTTTCAAACGATATATTTCATACAAAATTACATGTTGCCATGACAGAATTGTGGTTGTTTAAAACTTGAATTATTGAAAGTAGAAATAAAAAAAAGAAAACAGCAGGCATCGAACTCGGAACCTGTAGATTACCAGATTATACGATGGCAATGCTGCCTTACAGGAATTATACTATCAGAACATCAAAATAAGTGTCCAATTAACGGGCTACAAAGCATATGAAACTCTTTATCTTTACAAGGGAAGTTACTCTTAGTCAGAAACAAAGGTTAGTTGGCTGCTTCGCGGTACTGTCTGATGGAGTGGTTCCCTTTACTTTAAATAAAAATGCAAATGGGTCGACATTTTATCTGTGGTCACTTCCGTTGAACATATAGGGCTTACAGTGAAGACGATACTCAAACCGATGTCGTTTTGAGAAAATTTAAAAGCTATAAAACACTTTATTGAAAACTCGATATCATCCACTTCGTTTCACTTTATTCCATGATACAAAAGTATCTCTGTCGCTGTTACAATTGACTATATCCCAAACAGATCTGTTAACAGAGTAAACTTCCATAGACCTGATTTATACAGAAGTACTGGCCACCAACTTTGTCCTCAAGCCAGGTAATATATAAGGTTTATCAGACAGGTTCATAGAACACCGTGTGGAACTCAAGAAAAGACCACAAATGTTAGAACGATATATATATTTATGTTGCGCTTAAATGATAATAAGTCTGCAGGTCCGTTTGTTAAAAACAATATACATATAATACATATACATGTTATTTTTAATAATTCACATTTTTTGTGATCATTTTGAATGTTTAAATTTTTAAGTTCAATCATTTTAGTCAATATTGGAATGCATTTTTTTGTGTTCGGTAGTCATTCAGCTAGTCCGATGTTCTATTTAAACCCCTTTTTTTAAGATGTTGTTATATATGTACCGAAATGACTCAATTCAGCTACGCTTTGTTTAATAGATGTCATAGATGTGCGAGAATTTATGAGCCCCCTCATATCGATTTAGAATCGGCCCATATACAAATATCAATATTTGTTCTGCAAATTCAAAAGAAACAATAAGCTCAAGAAAATGACCAAATTTTTCAAATAAGATATGGCTTAGGATGTAGAGGGTTTCTACAAATGTCTACCTTATATAGGTCTACTGAGACGGCCCTCCTACGTGTACATAGTGATATAGCTTCTGCATTGGATAACAAGTGCAGAGCGGTGCTCGTCATGCTGGACTTGTCAGCTGTATTTGACGTCATCGACCATGGCATACTTTAAAAACGTCTGGAACACTCTTATGGAGTGACTGATACCGCACTATGCTGGATACAGTCATACCTGAGTGAACGACGACGGTGTGTTGCCATCGGATCTGCCACCTCACATGACAAAGTACTAGATTGCGGGGTTCCTCAAGGGTCGGTGTTAGGACCACGAAATTATTGTATGTACTCCAAACCGATTGGAGAGATTTGTCGTTGCCATAGCCTTCGCTATCATTGCTATGCTGATGACACACAAATTTGCATGGTCATAAAACCACAGAACAGTTGGAATACAGTCTCAGAAAGTCTGGAAGCTTGTCTGACAGATATCAGTATCTGGATGAACGCCTACATGCTTTGGGAGGGTTTCGGCTACGTTGTGGAATAGCTTACCATCTGCTATTAGGAAGTCAAATACCCTGGCCAAGTTCAAGAGGGACATAAAAACTCACCTCTTCACGTCTGCATTTTAGAATCTTTGCAAAGACGTCATGTAAATACCACCCTTTTATTTGTTCAATTATGTGCACATTGCTTGTTAAATGTATGAAAGTGATTGCAAGCCTTTGTTGTTTGTTTTCACAATTATAACCATTACTATTATCCATATGTTATAAGCGCCTTAGAGTAACTTTACAAATTATATAGGGCGCTATATGAATGCTGCATATTATTATTATTATTTATAGGGTAAGCGGGTACTAATGAAATGCCAGCCATATATGAGGTGAAAGGTTCTTACCTGTGATCATGTTTTTGATGAAATCCTTATACCCGGGAGCGTCAATGATTGTGACGAAATGTTTCTTTGACTCAAATTCAAATGTGTCAGTGGTGATACCACGTTCGGCCCTGATCTTGTCCAGAAGCCAGGCATATGTGCCCTTTACACTCTGAAACGGTAATGGTGATTTATATTATCTGGCAAAATATCGTTAACTAGGAAATTAATATAGAGGTAAATGGTCCGTATCAAACCGGGCTTAGGTATCATGTGAGAAACTTGAACTCAATTTTAAATTTCAAAACAATATTTTACAAATTTTAGACTGAATGTGAATTTTTCGATAATGCAAGAGCTTAAACACATCATGAATCTTTATTTCTGGAGTTCAATTAAGCATTGAACTGTTTTTGTATGGTATTGATGATCTATTTGAATGACACAGCTTTGCAAGCAAACAACTCATAATGCGCGCTAGCTGTGTCATTCAAATAGATCATAAATACCATACAAAAACAGTTCAATACTTATATTTACGTTTTCTCTTCCTCTTATGTTATTTTTTAACTTATAATTTATATTTAAAATTAAAAGTGCCCGCCTTATCGATAGTCCACACAATTTCGTTCGATAATTTGAACAGCGTATTGTCGCGTGCTGATTGGCAAACAAAGTAGTACTTTGAAATTTGAACAAACACTTCAATTTTATTCCACAATTCAGTATCTATACAATTGCGTATGATATGTCTATAGGGTGATTTAAGTTTATCAATAGAAATCTGAGCTGCAGTGAACACCGTGAATCCGACTTTGAACTCCACGAGGGAGTTATTTTTGGAAGTTAATTCGAAAGTATTCTTTGCTCATTTTGTGAAGAATCCAGACGTGAATTTATTTGTTGATTGTATGGGAATCTGACTACAGTCGGTAGATTCTATAACAGCATCGTTATTTGACATGGCGTGATCAGAAACTGGGGAAACCGTGGCTGCGAGACGCGTGAAACTGATATCGTTTGAAGTGAGTGATCTTGCGACGGAGTACAGGGGTTCGTCGTTACAAATGTCTGAAATGTTTATGTGTGCTGTGACTCATATCAGTAGGTCTGTAACATATGTGTCAGTAGGTCTATACAATATGTGTATTTCAGACATTTGTAACGAACCCCTGTCGATCAGTGCAGTGTAACAGACGATATTTCTGATAAATTGCATGAGTGTTAAAATTGTTTCCATTACCTGCATTGGTGATTTCAACCGATGTGCATTTTGTACGATATTGCAGACCTTGGTCTTGTTTTTGTTGTAATAAAAAAAAAAAAACTTTTTTCTTTTGCACATAAATTAACAATGACATTGTCAAGTCTCACAATGCCCAGCAATATTTCAGCAGCCGTCATGTTTATTTACATTGGATATTGCAGTTCCGGTCAGTGTTGTATTAATACGCTAAGCATTGTGTCTCGTGCTGCATGGTAATTTAATTCCCATCAACGACATAGCTTTCAAAGAGGCTATATAGTGACAATGACATGCAAATGTAAATATTATACATTTGATTGACATAGAAACAGGGCGTACCCAGGGCTGGATGCAGCATTATATATAAGAAAGTATCACAATTTTTACCTCGGCAGCCTCTTTCTCATATCTCTCAATGGTTTGTCGGTCAAAACCGCCACCTTTGTAGATCAAGTGGCCAGCTGTCGTTGACTTGCCAGAGCCAACATTTCCTATAACCACGATGCTGATTTCTGATTTGCGCTTGTCCATTATTTTCCTGTTTCTGTTTACACCTAAAATAATTAAGAGGGAGAACTATAGCACTTAAATATACAACAAGAAATAAACAAGAGGCCGTAACAAATTTCCGCATACAAGTGTCAGTAGCAAAACAAACTACTTAACCTGATGATTCAAAATTTCGAGAAGATTTAAGGTACTGTGGACTTCAGGGTTTAGATAGTAGTCTGTAACATTAGTGTAGACAGTCAAACTGACACGTCAATTTAGACAAGAATATTTTAACAAGTATTTTTTTGTTCTTCATGTTTTCCCAAGTTCCTCCAAAGCAGCTATGAGATGTTAACTCCTTTTAACTATATGTACGAAACATGCAGCAACGCTCTGTTTACAAAATCATAACACAAAGACCTGGGTTTGGCGTAAATGGCTCACCCAAAAAACTGGGCCGCCGAATTTATTAAATTATTTGTTTTGTATTTCTTCTTTTGATTATTTTTTGAAATGATTTCCCTTTCCTATTTTTTGTTTTCTTTTGACTTTTATATTCGAAATGAATTACCTTTTTGTAAAGATGCGGCCAATTAAAACAGCCGCAAAATATAACTAAAACCGTCTAATTAAAGAAGCAGACTCCAAAAATCACCAAAGATAAATCAGAATATGCTGGAGAGCAGGCTACCCAACCCTAACTTCCCTATATAGGAAGGGGGAGGTAGGTTTTCAGAGGCTCTGACCAGCTGGCAGTGTTGTCTCACCTCTGATTTGCCCCTAGTTCCAAATATTGTTTACAATAAATTTAAAAGCCCACAGCTTAACTATTAATAGGGAAATATCCCTAATCACAATATCTTAGAACATAAAAACAAACTCTTGGTGTATGGCGTCTGATTCTTGATACATAAGATTGATCACAAATTGTTCAGTACATATTAAATAAACATGATGAAGTTGAAATTAGAACATGAATATATACTGACTATTAAAATTTGATAACATATAACTGGAAAATATGCTATAGATAACATGAATACTGACTAGTACATGTGATAATATGATCATTGACTGGTAAAACTTAAGTAACATAGATAATGACTCAAATCGAGAAAATTTCAACAATCTTAATTAATACTTATGATAAAATGATTACACAATGCATTTTTACAACTGTAACGCCACTATGATAACGTTGTTTATATTCAGGACCATCTTTAATTGTTATTGTGTTCCCCAGCATCGTTGGCTCGTTCTGTTAAATCGGACTTTAGTACTACCGACACATGGCGATTTTAGACGTGCGTCTAGCATTTTAGTTTCCAATAATAACGTACTTTATAATAGTTGTCAATGAGAATCGCGGTAATTAAACATTTACATATATCATAGTTTAGTCGCATCTATAAGGATTACCTGGTCAGTCGTCATTTAGTCGTGTAGTTTGTCATTTTCAGTCGATCTTGTTCATATGTTTAATTTCGACAACATGTTGTTCTCCGGTAATGCAGTGCGCATGTCCGAGGCCGGAAGTTTACATTTTCACATTGTGTGCATGTCAACCAATCATATTAGAGTCCCGGCACGTGAATTTCTCGGGACGGTGTCCCGTTATTTTCGGGACTATTGCTAAACATCGGCAGTCACGACTCAGCAGCCGGTGAATACACACGGTTTTAAGATCTCGGAACCGCTTACCAGGTTCGAGCGTGATTCACTTCCTATTTTTCCTAGGGATATAGCCTATTGTCATTTAATCTATCTATCAAACTATTTTTAGAAGGGATTTCCCTGTAATCGCTTATGGTAAAGTGACGTCAAAGTCGTATAAAATGTAGGTCAATGTTTACATTAGAAACCGTAACGAACTTCAGTCAGATATAATTCCGACTGCTAGAATTGAAACACATAAGGTTTATTGTTGATATCTATATGTCAGATTTACTTTATAAATCAGAATAATAGTGAAACTGAGCTATATTGGAAGTTTTAGTGTACATATGTACAGAACAAGAGTGAGATACGTTGATATGGACTTGTATTAACCTTGCAACTGTCATGCTCGTATGGCTCCAGTACTCCTATGTATATAAATAAACATTATAGAACTGTTCATTTGGCGTTTGATCACTGTCACTGAGTGGTTTCAAAGTAGTATCCATTTTAGAGTAGCCTTGCTTACCAGAGGCTGAAGAGACCCCATTGACCAAGGGCTAAGAAGAGACCCTATTGACCAAGGGTGAAGGGTTGGCTATCTTACTACAAATCATAGGCCTTGATAGAGATAGACCCGACCACGTTACACAACCTACAGTATTGGTAACATTCAAAACATGCTCTCTGTGCTGAATAAGGGGAGGAGGGTGGGTTTTTATGAAGATTTGTAAGTGTTTTCAACAATGGTATTTTCTTTTCTTCGTTTTGTAGATTTTCTGCGCTTTTTAAAAATGGCGGATCTAAAGGCTGTGGGGTTAATGATTGGGGTCAGCGTGCAAGGAGCCAGGGGGCCCTTTCGCCTTTGACCTTTTAACCAATGGAAATTCCCCCTTTCTTTCTGAAGCAGGGGGCCCACAAGGGGACCCAACTGTGGGGTCCCCGAAGGAATATTATTAAATGAAAACATTTTGTTGTCCAAAAAATCGTATATAAATATACTTTTAATTTCTCTCTTATCATTATTCGCAAACCATTTAGTCAAGGAAAGAGAGATGTTTCGTCGAAGGATAATTTACTCACACTCCCTCAATTGAAGGCACTGATTAATCCTTCGTATGATTCCGTTATATATATCTCATTAACCTATTAATTGAAAGTATATTCACTAGAAGAATAAAGGTAAGATACAAACAGGTGAATGCAATTTGAAGATCTAGTTATAGATGCGAAACAGTGCACCATACAGCTATTTCGTCCCTCTATGACTAATTGGTGATGCTAGGGACCAAACAATTCGAAATCCGAAATTGGTTTCAACTACCATTAAACCAGAAGAGGAGGGGAGTAAAACTTCCAAATTATTTGAAATTCAAAAATTAAAGTAGTACTAGTTACTTTAACATGTATAATGAGTAAAGTGTGTATTTATTATGAACCATGCCATTTCGCTAAAAGAGAAAAGTGTTAATAGCAAAGGTGACAGCAGACCTTCGGAACTATACAGAGTCTACCACCATGTCACTTGAAGGATGAACGTAAGAAGCACATACAAAATTGGCTAATTAATATACAGAAAAACGAATGAAATTAATATTTACTGCACTACAAAGTCATTTCGTCCATTTTAAGGACTCGTTAGTGATAATTTAATATCATTTTCAAAAATAGTCCGAAACAAGAAAACAGGAAATCAAGCAAAAGAAGCATGTGGCTTAACATTCCTTAATTGTGTTTCAAATCTACAGCTGTTGGCTACATCAGATAATGCTTTCTTCAGCAAGTTTGTGAAATACAAGAACACTCCGATCATTTTGAACGAATTTGTCTGTAATGTTGAAAGCAACAAAACCATGAACTATTTTGTAATTATTTATGTATTAAATGCATTCTGTTCCGAAATGCGATTATATATACTTTTGTACTAGTTACCTTTATAAATTTATAATATTTAGCTTTAATATGAAAACGATTATTCCTCTTTCTCCATGGTTAGGCTGTCATTAAAATTCGATTGATAGATATACAATCAATAAAGACCTATATAAAATGATCCCTAAAGACGGCTATAACGATTTGATGTAGTCGTTAACAGTACATGAATATATCTTGGAAATAACTCTTGAGATAAATCAAGTATTGTATAACCTATCAATGTATCTATTGACAAATATAAGTACGTGATATATATCTCTCCTAACTTAACACCAATTACAAGCTATTTCTGCACGTTTTCCTTCACTGACTGTATTATGTACGAAATACTAAATCAGGTCTGCACAAATATTGATCAAACAAAAGTCACATACTACACAATATACACACCAAACAGTCACGAATGACTGGTTTAGAAAACTCTGCTCGGTACACATAGCATCCTTATCTTTATCCTCAATCGTAGTTAATAAAGACACTACAGCAACTGAAAATCCAGATTGTCGTTTTGTGTAACGTTTCGATGGTTTTTCGATGGTATTTGCTTACTTGTTACTGGAAAGTGTGTTATCATCCATTTATCTAATATATTCTTGGTGTGTGATTATAAATCACTCACCCATATAAATAATGCAGTATAAGAACGTAACCTAGTGATGTTCAAAACTCACAGCCGGATGAGTAAACAAGATGAAATATTCATTTAAATTTCTGTTTGAAAATTTATTAAAATTCAAAACAGAGTTGAATATCAAGGGATTTAAAATAATTGGAAGACATGTTTTGTAGCTTGAGATTGTTAAATGCTATTTCGAGGAAATGAATTTGTCCCCGAAAACAGGCTACCGACAGCTAGAGCAATTGTATGACGAAGATCAATATTTTGTGTATGCATCAAGAGTTCAAAACCAGACAGTGTGATGCTATGGGTGTATGATTACGATAATATATACAGGATTTATAAGTAGAATCTGCAGTGTTCCATATCTAAATGTTTAACTGTGGTAACAGTGATGCACAACAAAATGCACCAGATTCAGAGAAGTTAGAAATGGGCTCAGCGTGGAGCAGCAAGACTAATCACTGGATTACTATCTTATGCTCAAAATGAATCTTTACATAGTGAATCAGAATTAGAATTACTTTCGAATAGAAGAGCTAGAAGAAAACTTCAATTATTATATAAGCTGGACATGGAAATGACTCCAAGCTATCTATCAAATATATTACCCATCTTTGTAGGTGAAAACAATCCATATGCTTAAAGAAATAGAGACAGCTATATAATTCCAAATTGTCGACTATCTACTTCAACAAAATCTTTCTTACCTTCTACATTAAATAACTGGAACTCTTTAGATGATTATATTACAATGCTGCCTCTCCCATTATTTAAACTAGCCTTATCCCAACATATTCCCACAAGTCACTCTTGTTGCTATAGGTATGACGAAAGAAAGATAAATATTATACATACCAGACTAAGACATCAATGCAGCTCTCTTTAAGATTGTCTCTTTCGTGCTAATTTAGTTCAGAATTCTCATTGTGTAAATTGTGGGCACCATTGTGAAAATGCTTATAATTTCCTTTTTGAGTGCCATTTCATTCAAATACTTGTGCAGTAATGCTCCAAGCTTTTAATAACTTAAATATGCAAATTAGTTTAAATTTGTTACTTTTTGGCAATGATAACCTGGCTTTGGATGTAAATTGTAATGTATTCGAACATTCGAATTTTAAATTAAATGTCTATGTCATCACTTGTATATATATATATGAACTATTTTGTTGAGAGGAGATGCCTTCATCATTGGCTATAACTTGTGCCAAAACCTTTGTACATTTTTTGGACAATAAAATATGTTTAATGTCAAATTTAAAATAATTAGAAGATATTTTTGCAACTGGTGATTGTTAAATGCAATTTCGAGTAAATTAATTTGTCCCTCTGAAAAACAGGTTACCGACAGCTAGAGCAACAGCATGACGAAGATCAATATTTTCTGTATGCATTGTGAGTTTCAAACCAGTCTGTGCCATGCTATGGGTGTACGATTACGATAATATACACAGGTTTTATGAGTAGAATCTTCAGTGTTCCCTACCTAGAGGTTTACCTGTGGTAACATTAAAGCACAACAAAATGCACCAGACAACATTACACTTCACATGAGATGTGGCTGAAATCGTTTACCTTTCACCGTCTTTCAAATATGTAATGTTTAAACGACAAAATCCCAAAATTATATTATCAGAGATTTGGTTATAATTATCAAATTTACATTGTAAACATAAAGCGAACCCGGGTAGCCATTTTCCTTTACGACGTGGATGGCTGACACTATACTAGGTAAACTATTCGTTTACCGAGAATTCTTCATTGAGAGGTAAAGAGATATTTAGTTCGTAAATTAAAGTTATTATGTATGTTCTAAAATGCTATCATATATTGTTATTATGACGTTACTTGTGATTATTAAAGATTAGTCGTAAATGTTTCAGTATTGTGATTATACTTACAGTAAGACGAACAGCAGAGTAGGAATATGTCCCACGTCACGTGATGCAGACAACGTTTTGCATGATAATGCGCGTTAAATATAGACATTGACGTATATCTAATGTCGTCGTGAAATGAAGGTGTTGATGAAATATTGATGACAACGTCGCATATATATTTTTCTTGAAAGTGGTTCTTAGTAAACAATACAACTAAATTTTACAGTCTTGTAAGTTAATATCCGTCGTAAATGCTTGTATTATTCTACACTTGGCTAATACAACATTACCTCGATGGTTGAAAGTGTGTTTATCATTTGAGTAATACATATAACTGTTTATCATTACGGGTAGCTATATTATTCGAGATACGTGCATATTTTAACTTTCTTTACAACATTTCTTAATACTTTTAGCGGGATTGTGTTGCCTTTCCCGCGTACCCCAATGGGTCCCTTTTCAATGATGATATTTTTAGTCAAGTTTAGGCAAACTTCTATACTATAACGATCATATTTTGTTAACAATTCTTCATCAATGCCTTACAAAATCGTTTATCAAACGAAGTGACGTAAGAATTCTTTACAAATTTATATTAAAGCTCGTTTAAAGTATAAACATTATCTCTGACCAAAACATATTGTCGCCATTCGTTGGATTCAGTTCCCGTGAAATCTCGTTAATTCAAGTATGTATGATCATTACAAGAACTTGTCTTCAACCCTGTAACTGGTGAGATAGGTAGAAGTCGATAAAAGACTTTGCACCCTAATGATTGACATAAATATAAGTTATTCGAATTTTGAATCTTTTCATACAATAAACTTATAAAATTTATGACATAACATTACTATTTACCGCAGTTTTTCCGACTAATTGCACCACGATAACTTTAACATTAAAAATAAACTGAAATGGTTGGTAGAAAGGTCTTAATTTTCAAATACATGCATTGTTGGAGAATCCATTTACTTTATAAGAAAAAAAGACACATTTTATAGGCTCTAAAAAATCGAAAGCAAAGATTTCAGTAACAAGTCATCCAAATAACAACCCAAAAGTAATTATCATTTTACCCTGATGAAACTGCACAAAAGATTGGTATTTTGTATTAAATGTGCAAATATATTTTTTATAAAACTCACATATAATAACATTTAATCATAATGTTCCGGTCTAACTAATATGAAAGAAGAAGCACGGGAATCACGCCAAGAGTCTAAACTTGTTCACGCTTCGTGATGTTTATTAACTGTTACATGTGATATTTCTAAACATTTTCTTATGAAAAATTCTTTTTTTTACACAACCAATAATATGTTCTATGTGACGTTTCGATGACTAGTACGATATGTACACTGTTACCTTCATCAGACAAATGACCAATGAAGCGTATGCACACAGAGGTGTAAAATATGTACGAGGTGTCCACAAAATAGATGTCGATTTCGGCTACGCTGTAAGCGTATGCACAATAGTTGTTATATTTGTACCGAAATGACCCGATTCAGCTACGCTTTGGTCAATACATTGTCATAGATGTGCGAGATTCTTTCAGCCCCCTCATCTCGATTTAGAACTGGCACACTGCGGCGTATCCAGATGACTTCCTTGAACAGATTGCTCTCTCTCTCTCTCTGTCCAAAACTTTGGAGTTATCCCAGTCATTCACATGCTTTTTCTGTGTGGCATGGTTTGTGATTGCCGATGTATTTATCTGGGACTCAGAAGCAGTCGGAGGCTCCTTTATAAGACAATACACGGAAATATTAACAAATGCTGCTTAAGATATAAATGTGACTGTTGTAATCTCAGGATTTGTTATTAGCAAGAGCCACTATTTCTACGCGGGAAGTCCAAATGGTTTTACCGAGGTAGCTGATGGAGAAACAGGGCTTCTCCAAGAAATGAAAAACCTATTTACTACAAAAGCAATCAACCTGGCACATACTTTGAATGCTGTACATAATTGTTACTATCAATGTCACGGTGTGATAGAAGTCATCAATATGTCGCTGAATTGTGTTGTAAGGACCTAGCTGTGTCCACAGAAAGGATACTCAGAGAACATTGTTTCCTGAAAAGGCATTACCGCGGGAAATAGCACGTTGAATCAGTGAACCAGGTCTATGGATAAAATGTTCATTGCTACTTGTTGAAAATGGATAACAACTCATGAAGTCGGTGTATTTAACAAGGGTAGTTTCAATTATTTGTTATAAATAAGAACGTGGGGTAAACAATTATTTATTATCAAAAGATATAGGGCCAAGGCCGGTTTCATATTTTTTATATACTTTTCATTTCTTGTTCATCAACAGGAAAGTTGCTTTACTCTGTGATTTTGACAAAGATAACTTATACTGAAATACAGAAATACCTTGTCGGTAAAAGGTAAGCAAATGTTTAGTTTATTTCATTTCACTTTTCTATGTGTTTGCATTTTGAAATGCAACATCTAAGTAAACCTTCATAAAAGAGATCCAATCGATGGGGCGACAGACGAGTGTATCCACATCAAAGGAAGCAAAGACTGCCAAGAAAAGATGCTCATCAGCAAAAACCCTCCATGAAGAGGCAACTTATATCCACCTTTTATAAAGTACTACTTGTATTACTTACAATATACATGTACCTATACAATGACAATATAAAAAGCTACCAATCTATAAAACAAAGTAACTTGAGGACACACAGATATAAGATGGAGTCAGCATTCTATCACTAGTTTTGAGTTGTTGGGTGGGGAAATTCCGACCGGAAGATGTTAAATAAGACCAGTAAGAGTAAGGAATGGTCCAGTGAGAGTGTAGTAAGAGTAAGGAATGGTCCAGTGAGAGTGTAGTAAGAGTAAGGAATGGTCCAGTGAGAGTGTAGTAAGAGGAACTGACACTTATAAAGCTGTAACATAGTGTTGTAGGACGACGACGGGGAAGTATACGTAGTAACGAGTTATTACAGAACCCTGCTGTATCCGAAGTGAAGTTCCTTGAACTATAATTTGGCATACGTGCATGATGCAAGAGAAAATGTAAGTACTAACGCCAGTGTCCTGGATAATGTCCATCTGTGAACATTCATTCGGGTCTAGTATCAAATATTAGACATAAAGCAACGAGGTCTCACGATATAATAGGTTTCCGATTGTTACCAGAGGCCGAGAGGGCCTGTTTTGTTTACTTTGATTTTAAAGCAATTAATGCAACATATTCTCATTAAAAGAAGTATATCAAGATCCTAGAGGTAGGACAAGTCCCGGGGGCCACTCCTGGTAGGACAAGAGATTCTATATTGTCCTAATGTGTGTTGCAAAATGTAGGTTATCTTAAATGTAACCTTGTTATTACCCAAGGACTAGATTATTAAGGGTGATGGTAGAACCCAACATCTGGTAGCAAAATTGTGTTCGTTTCTTTATGTCGAGTAATAATATGTCTAATTAAGGAGTGGGCTTCTCAACTTCATTGAATCTTAATTCAGAAGTTTTGGCTCGGGGTTACGTCACCAGGGTTGGGATAGACCTAGAGGTAAATCATGGTAGCATCTCTGTTTGAGTTTGTTCGTGACTAGCAATTAGGAATATGATAGGGACCTCAACCATTTCAGAATTATAACTAATGATTTATGTCACGAAGTATAGGGCCAGTCTGTTGGAAAATCACGGTAGTTATGTTTATTCTCCTCTTCATACTCAGCAATTGTATATGGTAATAAGGTGGGGATCTCAAATTTTATCGTGTTCTGAACCAGGGATTAAGTCACTGCGGTGGGGGCAAACCCAGTGGCCGGTCACAATAGCAACTCTGTATTTGAACGTCAATGCACAGCAATCGCAACAAGAGGCCCATGGGCCTAAACGGTCACCTGAGTCCCACAGTATTTATTTTTGTTGTTGAAATATGTACCAATTTGAGGTCAAAAAAGTTAAGTATAACGTTAACTAAAGTTTGTCATGACCATGAGTCGATCATTCCTACAAAGTTTCAGTTCAATCAGCCCAGTAGAACTTGACTCTAAGTTTGAAATAGTTTTTCAAAATGGCGGCCGTGGCGGCCATATTGGATTTCTGATCGACCCGAAAAATAACAACACTTTGTCTGGACCATAAGTTAATCATTCCTACCAGGTTTCAGTTCCATCTGCCCAGCAGAACTTGACTTCAAGTTTGAAATAGTTTTTCAAAATGGAGGCCGTGGCAGCCATATTGGATTTCTGATACACCCAAAAAATAACATCATTTCTACCAGGTTTCAGTTCAATCGGCCTAGCAGAACTTGACTTTAAGTTTGAAATAGTTTTTCAAAATGGCGGCCGTGGCGGCCATATTGGATTTCTGATCGACCCGAAAAATAACAACACTTTGTCAGGACCATGAGTCGATCATTCCTACAAACTTTCAATTCAATTGGCCCAGCAGAACTTGACAAGTTTGAAATAGTTTTTCAATATGGCGGCCGTGGCGGCCATATTGGGTTTCTGATCGACCCGAAAAATAACAACACTTTGTCAGGACCATGAGTCGATCATTCCTACAAAGTTTCAGTTCAATCGGCCCAGTAGAACTTGACTTGAAGTTTGAGAAAGTTTTTCAAAATGGCGGCCTTGGCGGCCATATTGGATTTCTGATCGACACGAAAAATAACAACACTTTGTCTGGACCATAAGTTAATCATTCCTACCAGGTTTCAGTTCAATCTGTCCAGCAGAACTTGACAAGTTTGAAATAGTTTTTCGATGTAGCGGCCATATTGGATTGCTGATCGACCCGGAAAATAACAACACTTTGGCAGGACCATGAGTCGATCAGTCCTACCAGGTTTCAGTTCCATCTGCCCAGCAGAACTGACTTTAAGTTTGAAATTATTTTTTCAAAATGGCGGCCATATTGGATTGCTGATCGACCCGGAAAATAACAACACTTTGGCAGGACCATGAGTAGATCATTCCTACAAACTTTCAGTTCAATTGGCCCAGCAGAACTTGACAAGTTTGAAATAGTTTTTCAATGTAGCGGCCATATTGGATTTCTGATCGACCCGGAAAATAACAACACTTTGTCAGGACCATGAGTCGATCACTCCTACCAGGTTTCAGTTCAATCGGCCTAGCAGAACTTGACTTTAAATTTGAAATAGTTTTTCAAATGGCGGCCATATTGGATTTCTGATCGACCCGAAAATAACAACACTTTGTCAGGACCATGAGTCGATCATTCCTACAAAGTTTCAGTTCAATCGGCCCAGTAGAACTTGACTTGATTTGAGATTTTTTTTTCAAAATGGCGGCCGTGGCGGCCATATTGGATTTCTGATACTCCCAAAAAATAACAACACTTTGTCAGGACCATGAGTCGATCATTCCTACAAAGTTTCAGCTCAATCGGCCCAGTAGAACTTGACTTGATTTGAGATTGTTTTTTCAAAATGGCGGCCGTGGCGGCCATATTGGATTTCTGATCGACCCGAAAAATAACAACACTTTGACAGGACCATGAGTCGATCATTCCTACCTGGTTTCAGTTCAATCGGCCCAGCAGAACTTGTCTTTAAGTTTGAAATAGTTTTTAAAAATGGCGGCCGTGGCGGCCATATTGGATTTCTGATCGACGCGAAAAATAACAACACTTGGTCAGGGAGATGTCAGTAACCTTCCCATGAAATATTAATGAAATCGCTTTGCCAGTATTTCAGCTTAAGTTGAAAATGTAAAATGTTGACGGACGACGGACGACGGATACCAAAAGGTCACTTGAGCTAAAGCTCAGGTGACCTAAAAATGGTCATAGGGAGAGGATATCAACTGTGAACCAGAAACTAAGAGAACCCAGAGTCTATTTTAATATCATCATTTTGTTTCTCACTATGAACCTTGGCCTAAATCCTCAAACTGCTAGGGGTGTGGCCAGACCCAAACTTCAATTCTGATATCTTGTGTTGGTATTTTTACACACAGCAATGGTATATATGGTTATGGTACATGTAATTGGGATATCAATCGTTTCAAAGTTATGACCCAGAGAGTAAATCTCAGGGGTGGTGTCGTATCCCCCGGGCCAATCCTTATGGCAATATTGTATTGATATATGGTTATAGGTTGGGGATCTCAACCGTTTCCATGGTTTAACTCAGGGACTTACTCCCTAGGGGCAGAGCAGGACTCCTGTCTATTCCAGTTCGCAAGGGTGTACATTTATTCATCTCTTTATGTCCGCTAGATGAAAACATGTACATTGTTATATGGTGGGAATCTTACTCATTTTGAAAGAGTTAAGGTTTACATCCGAACTTCCACTATTTGGACCACATCCCTCTTCTATTGATGCATCAAACACAAAATAAAGATTTTGAAGAACACCTACCCGTTATCTCATTGAAGGCCACGACCTGTACAGAGGAAATTATTTTTGAGATTGTACTCAATGGAATCATATCGTGCCCTTAACGCATCCATCCATACATTTTACCATTGCGTTTTTAATATTATTTCTTTTAAATGTCTTGCAAGCATTCCTATTTCACCTTTACATCTTTAGTCGTTAGCTTTCTAATTCTCTGTTTTAGCTTTAGTGTAGTGTTCAACCCTAAAACTAAGCATATGTCTAAGTTTTCCTTATTAAACTTTATACTACTAGTATTCAGTGTTTTCCATATGCGCCGTTTTGTGGAAAATATTGAAAAGTAAATTGATTCCGCTCCTTATCATTACTGTTGGCTTCAGTCCATTCAATTTGAAATACTTTTCCCTCGTTTTACTTATCACACTTAAATCATTAATGATTTTTGTATTAAATTTGACACGTTTATAAAAAAGATGCTGCTGTTTTTGTCTCTAATTTGCATACACAACATTTTTATCATTTTGTATTTTACATCAATTTATATTCTCAATATTTTATAACATTCACGAATTTCTACTGGAAGGCTATACATTAGTATCTGCAATAGAGTAACAGAATCCATTCAAAGCATTTTCCCATGTTAAAGTATTATCATGAAAGGGCTTTTCTCGTACTTGTTTTCGTTTGAGTAAAGATTTAATAAGACCTGCACAGCCAGGTAAATGACAAGCTGACCAAGGATATTAACAAGAGAGCTTGATGTTTTAAATATAACTTAATTTGGGAGACATAACATGTAGCAAAGAACCAAACAGAGTGAATTGTTGCTACCTCATGTCCCACTGGAAACAAGATGCTACCTCATGTCCCACAGGAAACAAGAAGGACACTTCCTCATGTCCCACGGGAAACAAGAAGATGCTACCTCATGTCCCACGGGAAACAAGAAGACATTACCTCATGTCCCAAGGAAAACAAGAAGACGCTACCTCATGTCCAAAGGAAAACAAGGAGACGCTACCTCATGTCCCACAGGAAACAAGAAGACGCTACCTTATGTCCCAAGGAAACATTAATACCCTACATTATGTCCCACGGGAAACATTAAGACCCTACCTATGTCCTACGGGAAACAAGAAGATGCTACCTCATGTCCCAAGGAAAACAAGGAGACGCTACCTCATGTCCCACGGGAAACAAGAAGATGCTACCTCATGTCCCACGGGAAACAAGAAGACGCTACCTCATGTCCCAAGGAAAACAAGACCTCATGTCCCAAGGAAAACATTAAGACGCTTCCTCATGTCCCATGGGAAACAAGAAGACATTACCTCATGCCCCATGGGAAACAAAATACAAGTAATTACACCTATAAGGAAGCATACTGTGATAAAATGACAGAAAAGTCAAAAGAAAACAAGTCGTTTCTGGTATCTCTTTGAAACCATGCATTTATTGTGTAGATGAGACAAAATAACACATTGGCAGTTAGTGTCCTAATACCCTTCATTACAGAAATTAAATCACTTACACTGGTAACAAACAATTACTGAGACAAAAACCTTCACGTAAAACAGAAACAAACTATTCTTTTGTAACATACATGCCAAGTGACGATGAGCTTGTTTGATTTCTTCATAACTTCACACTTGATTACGTGTGATTCAAATATGAAGTGAATTCTCTGTAATTTATGGTAATGTTATGTATGCAACATACTATATATATATAGATCAGCTGATTAATGTTATATATTATGACATTTCCTTGTCAATATATTATCCTTATAAATGCCATATGAAAGAAAACTGCCCATAGGGAAAGATGATTTTTAAAATTCTATTTCTACATGAATTAATGATGTAACTGCTTTAAAGCATGTGCAATATTAATAAGTTTTACTGAATTAGAAGCTACAATGTCGGTTTGTCAAAAAAGCCTTTGTTTATTAATCTGGCCAGTTTGTGGTCATGTTTTCAAGTACCAAAGCTTCTCAATGCGCTGTTTCATGATCATCAATTCATTCCAGCACTAAGCATCCCTGATGTATTTAAGCATTCAGATGTATGTGCAGATATAACATCTTGCAAAAAAATCATCTTGCAAAAAAAAAATCAATAATCTTGTACTTGCATAAATATATGTGCAAGTAAAAAGTAGGCAAGATTTTAAATTGCACACAATTCAAATAAAGCACACTAAATCTCTTAAAAATATGAGAAATTCGCCCCGAATTCCCCCCTTAATATGTCGTCTGCTTGCGTAGGAATACCCGTACTGTCCTGTAAATCGTTGATCAGTAAATACTGTAGTAAAATTAGATTACAGGTCTGTTACATTTCAGAAGCGAATTGACCATTTGATTGTTATCAATTAGCTATCAGTACATACTAGAGGTGGATAAGTAGCAACTGTCTCACTAACGTGAAAATGATATCAGGAAGTATTTATAGTTGTCCTCAAATACATCAAATGAACTTTATGTATATTGTCAGTACAGGCTCCACAATTTGTAAACACTTCATGACTTAATCTCGATTTTAATCTCAGTTCCTATACAAACTTATTTGATTCATAAAACGAGACTTTCTGGAAAGTTAGCTGTGTCAAGGAAATGTATCACCTTGTATATATACACATTGTATATATTTATGTCGACACCTATATCGCAGTCAGAAAGGTTCAAATTTGCTTTTGAAATGTCACATGACCTACTATTCCCTACACCAGTCTACAAGTCTGGCTACTATTGTATCTATACACTTCTATACATGGTAACATATCCAGTATCTGTTATCTATATACAATAATATGTAGTCTGTAACCTACCTAATAAACACACTGCATTTATACACGAAAACCGGTCTTACATGAATAAAATTCAACATCTGAAATAATTACACTTTGTTACATCCTTCAACCCCTTCCCTCATGTCTCGCTGTGGTTTTAAATTCCCTACTTTTGAGATCAATATACTTTCCCAAAAAACAAGATCTTGCGAAAATGTCGGTCAGTTCTAAGAATTGGTACAGAAAGGAGTTACCAGAATAACAAATATAAAACGGTGCAACATGTAGTCTTATGTATTTTTTGTTGTTTTTGTGTTCAGACATGAAATATCGCACCAAACATTCATCAACATGCTTGGAGGTTTACTTCAGTTCACTATATATTCCATCTTTGCGTATTGCAGAGTTATCTTCTCTTGTGAGCAGGGATTGATTGTTACGTCATTGGATTGTGTGAGAAAAATTACGTCTTTTTCTCAAAAATTGATGACGTTTCTCTCACTAACCAATGACGTAACAATCAATACCTGCTCACAAGAGCAGATAACTCTGCATAAGGAAAAGACGGAATACTGAGTCTCTGGACAGAAAGTTGAATTTTTACTGTCAAGGGAGGTAACACAACATATTAAAATCATACTATTCACCCTGAACAAATATGGGGTACATCATTATAGACACATGTGTGTTTATTAGGTCGAGTACAGCATTTTCTCCTTCACAGTTAAGACATCCATCACACACAATATCACACCGATACTGAATACAGCGAGACACCAATCAAAATCTCACTGTCACTTTCTTCAATAATTGTTTACTGAAATTTTCAATAACTTATAACATTTATGAACCATTCACAATTATATGTATATCTATAACTACATCATCAGCTAAAAATGGAACCTCAGTAATCCTGATATTTCCGTCCTTTAGCAAAAAAGTTGGGGAAATTTTTATTAATTAATTTTTTGGATTAATGAATCAATTCTGTTAACAACATAACATTCTACAATAGCCATGAGCCCGATAGGTTGTAAATAAACGGCATGTAAAATGTTATTAAAGTTGTGTACCAGGTCTGGAAAGGTCCAGATTACAGGAGTTCGGGATTAGTGAGGTTCCATCGTACCAGACACACACTGATGTTCTAATATTGCACTTTCCACTTCTACGATGAAGGCTTTTAATCTATTCACAACCATGTGCATTTAAATCACTACAGTTTATTTAATCTACCTGGTACAGGCAGTTGTATAAAAGTTAGGTTATGAAATTGTCATATTTTACAGAGGTACTTTTCAACTTTTAAAACAAGTACAAGTGACATTTCTTATGTATAAGTTATGTCTGCAGTCACCATTCTCTCTCTGCTAAGCCCGTTCTCCTGTTAACTCATTCACCCCTGCAATTTCATAATGAACTATTCCAACCTTTGAATTAGAAGAGTTCAAATGTGTCTTCAGGGGTGAATGAGTTAAACTTGTTTACATATGTGTAGCTTTTGTATCTTATTTGTGATAAAACCTTGTTCAGTGTTGACCTGTCCACTTGTTTAAGAGAATTAAAAAAAAAAGTGAAATCTGGAAAAGACTTCTTTCTGTATATGCAAGGTCTAGTTTGGGAAAATGTTTAACCTCCTTTTAAGGGCAAGTTTCCCTTGGTTTATCAAAGTAATTATCTTCCTACAATCCGTTTTAAGTTGTCAAATGAATATAAACAAGATACGCAGTTCATTAGCTGAGGCAGATTCTGGAAAACCAGTGTTTTGACAATGTGAACTGTTGCAATATTTTTAACCCGTTTCCAATGATTTGATAAAGGGGTATACTTCATTTACAAGGGTACAAAATATGCTTAAATAAAGTGCTTAAATAAAGTTTTGCTTGATCCTAGAAGTCCAATAAAGTAAAATTTGAAACCATAACAAAATTTGGTTAAATGCATTAAATCTAGGCCGTTTTCGTTTAAACAGTTGACGGTCGGTCCCACAGTTGTTCGTTTATTAAATAAGGTCGGACCAATTAAGTCAACTCATGTTGCTTTCAGACGCGCCTTGACAAAGCCTTGCAAGGCCTGCATAAACATTTGCAGGTCTGACAGGATTAATACCCAAAGTGGTTACATTTAAAAACTGACAAACCGGTTGTTCCACATAAACGAACAGGGTCCTATAGACCAGTTCAAGGGAAATAACTCCAGCATCATACAGGAAACATGGAACGTTGATATATTTCACTGACGAGGAATGACAGGTGTAATACACTTTTCTGGATTAATAATTTCTGGCCTCATATTCTTAAGATTTGGTGTACATAACACTTTTGCCCTAAAATGTTGAATTACTGTTTTCAATTCAGATTTTAACATCCTAACGAAAAGGCAACCTTTTTTCAATACTTTCAAAAAATCTTCTTTCCCTGTGAGTTCCATGAGGGTATTGTTCTGTTGTTGTTTTTCCAAAAAGATCTTCTTTGAAATCTTAAATCTCAAAATTTATTCATAAGCTGAATATATTTAAGATTTAAGAAGCTATAAACTAAAAGATCTTTCACTGAAGTAAAAAATTAGATTTTTTTAAGAGAAAAAACAGCCTGCTTGCCTGCCTGCAATGTACCAAGATGTTCTTGCCATGCCCATTCTAAATGAAATTACAACTTGAACATAAATGGTTCATAAAAAGTAAGACTGAATTCAACATGATAAATATTTTGCCCCTAACACAGACACCTGACACTCATAATCGAATGGGGGAAAAAAACCCACTTGAATTCATAACACTTTAACTGGTGACCTGTCTAGAATAGTTTCAGAAAGTTTTCTTGTGTTCAAATTTTAAGATTCAAAAGAAAAGTACACCAAACGAAGTTTTATTTTTCTATGTCACAGCATGAAAGCTTTACTACAGCTAACAGAATTATAAACAACAATAATCAGTCATTTATCAAGAAATAATCCTGAATAGTGAAAATGTCTAAATTATTTATCCCGTAACTTACCAATCTATCAAGCTTGATTCTGATTATGAGAGCTTTCAAAATATACATTCAAATATCATAGACAAAAATTGCATTTCTTGAACTTGATGTGTCATGTGTGAGTCAATACTTCAGTATACATTGTATTACAAATAATGTAACATGTTGTTGAAATTTTAATGACAACATATCAATATATGCTCTTGTTGGCATCACTTGAATTGCGGCGACACCATATATATATGCTCTTAGCCAAATGCAGTACTTTTCTCTTAAAGACTAACACCTTCACCCCTGAAATTTCATAATGGACTATTCCAACCTTTGAATTGGAAGAGTTCAAATGTGTCTGCAGGGGTGAATGAGTTGGAAGTATATTCCATGTTGTTAAATGATATAGAAGCACAAGCTCCTACCTAACATAACAAAGACGTAACTAATTCAGCAAATATATGGATATATAGACTTAGTATTGACCTCATCAATTTTATCATTGTCAATACCTTCCAGGTCCATAAAGCCATATATTCACCTCAACAAAAGTTCGTAACTGATAAATACTGAATCTCACAAATGCTTATGAAGTGAATAATGTAAATGGTGTCACTGATGAGTAAATGTACCCCATATTCATATAAACAGCTGATTTTTTTACAATACTTTTGACAGCCTTATGTAATGATAACGATCGATGCTAGTTACAAATGATGCGTTTTTATTTAAATTATCTCCCTTGGAAATTGATATAACATTTGGGAAAAAGCTAAATACAATAAATGGCCACTTAACCTTGTGTGTCTTTTAAATGTTTAACTATACTTAACAAGTCACTGTTACAAGATCTTTATGTTTTTCTTAGCGAGGAGTTCTCTTGGAAAGGAGATTCATGTCACAGTCAGGTCTGTTAGTATAATGTATCCTTAAGGATCCCTGTCACACTGCAGAATTCCAGTGTAGTTATTCATACACACAATAGTCTCCCTTTAATCTGTTTTGGATATTAACTGTAGCAGGACTTGGCTGAGGAACTCAATCTGCCAGTTCTATCTCCAGGGTCCCAATCCCGATCTGGCACGCTTTCATTTTTATTCCCAAATGCTGATGTTGGTTTTAAGTTTTCAATTTTCATTTTTGTTTATTTGCCCCCCAAACATTTCACAGGACATGGATTTCTTTGTCATGGATACCCCAGGGGTAAAGCCTACTTCCACGTTATGCACCCTTTCATTATGTCATGGCAAAATTGAAGGTTTTGTATGAGGTACCTTATGGATGTGTATGATACAATTAGACACCAAAAGATTGACTATCTTCAAAGTCAGGTGTCACTCCTTTGTAATCTTAAAAGGACAGGTACGTATCTGCCTAAAGAATGGTCATGTTTTGTACCTGAAACTAATCAAATTGCTTACTGCATGCCTTCGCATTTATTATGACATATTCTAGGCGTGCAGAGAGCACATGACGGCATAAGCTCTGGAGCATCAAGGATGTTATTTCTTTTTTTTTTTAGATTGGATTGGTTTGAAAGCGTTTTGTGTCTTATAAACAGCTATAGTCTTTGAAGGGTGTACCAGGATTTTGGTGAAATTCCGCAGACCTGTGGCCAGTACATGTACCTGCCTAAAATAGGCATTAAAACTGTGACCTAGTGTGAAGCCACTTGGCCACCACGACCCATTTTCTTTTGAGAAGTTAAATTTTTAGCCAGACTGTTGAGCCAGTTAAAAAGTCCCCAATACACAGTTACAGTTTTAACAGTGGTACATGGATTCTTAAACCAAGCAGTTTACTAGAGTTGGCATAAAAGAGATGCGAGCTAGAGCAACAGGGAACGGACGTTACTTTGTCTTAAACCAAGTAATTATATTACTACATCAGAGCCAAGCGGCACCTTAACTAGAGTGAAATTTAACTTCTGGAAAATGTTTTGTAAAATGACAATTTTTTAATTGATGAAATGATAATTCCAAACACAGCAGTGTGTCAGCCTAGCACACATTAACAACAATCTCATAACGTATCAATGAAAATTTGGTAAGAATGGTAACAAAAATGATCCTGACAATTAAACCACCACATATCAGCCAATATCACCGTCACTCTCTCTCCTCCCATTGACCTTTGACCTACTACTGCTGTACATTTTCTCTGTAGGTGGATTGTTGCCGAGGGGCAGACTAGACCGCCGTGCTGGGGGTGGAGGTTTTGGTTTCCGGTTCGTTTTGCCGGTACAGCGGAGCACAACAGTACCCTGCTGTGAGTCTAGAGAACTAGAACTGGTAGTACTCTCACTGCTACTCTCACGCTCCTCACGTCTCATACCCGACGCCATCTCACTTTGGTCTAGTGTATCTTCAAATTTCAATGTCACCGGCGCTGTCGCTGGGGATAATTTCTCTGATTTTACTACAGGAGTTTCTGTTTTGTCTGATTTTGCTAATTGCGAGTCAGTTTTATCAGATTTCCTCCGGTCATTATTACCTAAATTGCTGACACTTTTGCCACCAGCTAAATCTTTCTCGAATTTAGTGGTGGGTTTGTGTGTGATGCCTGCCTTTGGTGTGGAAGTGAGAGTACCTACATTTAAGGCAGACCCCATACGGTGCCCTGTCACTACACTGGAGTCCTGTGGGTCGCCCTCGGTACGCACTGGGGACAGTGGTCCTGCAGTGGAAGCCCCAGGGCGACTACTGCTCTTTCTAGGAGGTGGAGGAGGAGGTGGCCGTTTCTGTCGCCCCTCCACACTACTGTAAGAACTACCTTTCTTTTCAACTTTATCAGTAACTTTACCGTTAGATTTTGCACTTGATGATCCATTTGCACTGACTGACCCGGAGTCTTTGGATGATGGTGATGATGATGTCTTTGGTTCACTTATATCACGGTTTTGAACAGAAGCACCAGAATTTTTTTGAGGAGAGATCCTTGGAATGCTACTAACACGAGTACCACCAGGAGTAATTACATAACTAGGGGTAGTGGGAGAGGGTGTGGCACTTTTAGTTTCACCCGTTTTCTCCCTTTTTGAGGAGACTGGCAAGAATGTTGGCTTCCCAGAGGAGCTCGACACATTTGGTCGTTGAGTGTTTGAGCTTGAGGAGCTCACAGTGTATTGAGTCTCTCCTGACACTGTGACCTTGACCGGAGAAATTCTCACAGTATAGTCCATGACTTTAGCCCCACTGGGAGAATCCAGCGATCGTTTTTCCTCTTCTGGGGAGGTTGGAGGAGTTGTGATTGAACTGAAGAAATTTGCACGTGCAGCATTTTTTTGAATTCTTAAAATTTCTGCATTTCGTTTCACATCTTTATCCTCCAGCGCACCACTGTCAACACTTTTTGATCGTTTTGAACTGCCACCCTTACCATTGGTCAATTGTGGTTTCCCAGACGCCATTTTGTCACCATTGACATGGGGTTTGGAGGCTTCAACAGGCAAACACTTACTGGCAGACGGTAACTCAGCACTAACAACAACAGCTGGCTTCCTCATTACTGTCATATCTGACACCATAGCTTCTCTTGAATCTAATCTATTGTCCAATGAACGACTTTTCTCTGTTAAGAGTGGGCGAGTTTCACTCTTTGACTGGTCAGTCTGTCGGTCACGGTCTCCTCTCTGAACGCTTTTATCTGAGGTTGAACTACTTGGTGGAAGAGAAGATGACTTAACTGTTGCATCACTTGAACTTGAGGTAGGTTTATGCACAAGGCTTGGCGAACCTTCGACTTTTGACCCTGAGGGCTGTGACTCTGTACCCTGAAGAGCAGTCATGACCTCTGGTCCCTTCTCCAACTGTTCCTTTGAACTTGCTGGCTTTAGGCTACGAGTTGCCATTTCAAGCGACCGACCAAATTTTAAAGCTTCTTGCTTAACTACAATCTTCTTCTTCCTCTCCCTGGATGCATCTGCTTCCTACAAAAGTTCCAAGAAATTTTGTGAATATTTTATTTCAACATGCTTTATTGACCGATAATGAAATGAATTGAACAGACATCAAAATTATAAATGAAAAGAAATCAGTTTTGTACTTTAAAAAGAACGATTTCCAGTTGTCAATTTAGAAATTACCTTAATATACATGTACTTTTGTTATAAAGATGAATGTTGTGAAGGTACACCTTTAAAAAGATGAGGGGAATACAAATATTGATGTACATGTACCTGAATAGAACAATATTCACCGACCACCGACCTGAGATGGCGCTTAGGGTGAATACTGATAGGGTGAATACTGACCTTTTGGAGTAGACATATTGTCATAATATAACCACATTTATTCCAATTAACAACCTATTATTTGATTCCCTCTTACCCCAATATGCTTTTCAAATTAATTAAAATCAAATATGAATAATTGCGTCAGTGATTCTTTTGACTGGACATTGCTGTTGACAAAAACTTTAATTCCTGTTTGCTTTATTTACAATCGGACTCGTATTTTTGAAGTGTGAACGAGGTAGAATCAATGACTTGTCGTTGCTGGGTTACCTCAAGTTTCCGTAGGCGAGCATCATGGTCAGGAACCAGGGCAGTAATGTTCTCCAGTAAATGTTTGCGGTCACCATCAGTTGGTACCATGCCCCCTAACCTCTGACCTGCCTTTTGATGGGGACGATGTTCCTGAACTGAAGCAAGCCTACAAAAAAAAGATATCTTAAACATTTCTGGCGTTGATGGAGAATCTTACTCAAGAATCTTGTTTACTGTAAAAGTTTAAATCTGAGTTTAAATATAGTCATAGGAAAATTGTAACAGAAATAACATACCAACATTGATCAAAGGCTATTCTTTTGATTGAATGCACAATTGATTCAATATGGAGACAATTTCTTATATTTCATTACTGTCTATGTTAATACCACTTTCAGGTGGACAAAAATTCCTTGAAGTGCAACTATAGGTTAATTCCCAGTATGGTTGCAATGAGAAACATTTAGCTACGATTTATTTAGTACAATCAGGTTACAAACAAAATACAGTTTCAGGTCTCTTAAAATAGTAAAACTAGGAAAATTGACATCAAATCATGCAATATCTGAGAGATCACAATACCTTTTTAGTGTAAACAGGGTGTCTGAGAGATCACAATACCTTTTTAGTGTAAACAGGGTGTCTGAGAGATCACAATACCTTTTTAGTGTAAACAGGGTGTTTGAGAGATCACAATACCTTTTTAGTCTAAACAGGGTGTCTGAGAGATCACAATACCTTTTTAGTGTAAACAGGGTGTTTGTGAGCTTCTTGCAGCGTTTCAACCCTTCTTCTAAAGTATCAGGTTCATCCTTGAGGAATCTGTGAAGACATAATTTGATTATGATTTAACATGGAAACTACAATCTGTCTGAAAATAAATAAGTTCAACAGAGTTATCTTCCCTTAAAGATATAATTTTGAAAGTTACAATGTGACCTACTTTTCCTCCTTAACCACGACCTCCATTTCACCAGATAGAACATGCTTGACTTCCTCTTGTAGCGATGGGAAAAGACCTACAATGTTAGAGTGTGTGAGTTTGTGAGAAAAACTAAACAAATTCAAATATTTACAGAAAATTGGGACAAAACATAACAATTTAACTTTCCATCTACAGATCTCATTCTTCAGGTCAAGAGAACAATAATCATATAATTTTTATTTAAGTCTTAATTGAGATATGAGGTCTGAAGTTTTTAGTACCTTCTAAATAATTAAATTTAAATTCAATTTTCAGTGACCTTCTTAAAAGTATTTCATATGTATGTAGACTAGGCCACACCTTGTCAATTATTATTTCGTTAAGGTTTTAACAGATTTCAGTGTGAAAGATTTACTTTACCAACAAGTGAATTTTGGATGATGTCCAGAACTGACTCTAAATAGGAACACAGCCATAATGTACAGCATGTATGTGACAGCCTCACCTTTGAGTTCTCCCAGGCAGCGTGCCACCTGACTGAGGAGAAGGGCCATCCCCTCCACATCAGTCATGTTGACAAGACAATGCCGGGACAGCACATCAAATCGAAGCTCCTCCACACATGACTCAAGGTCACTGTAAGGTTAAATTGACAAAATTAAAGGTCACTATATAGCTAGATGTACTGACATTTCAACTGAAATTAAGTTCTCTGTTTACATTTCTGTTTCTACCTCAGAAAATAGCGAAACATAATATAACTGAGTGGGCAAATTGTCAAATAACAATTAGATCTAGATCTGAATGGTTGAAAAAATGAAGCACACACAGTTTTGAGACAGCTGACAACATTCTCAAACAAAGAACTTCTTCTTATCATTAAATTTGAGATCTTAATTTAGAAGATTCCCACATTTTTACTGCTTTACTGAGTTTTTATAACATGACCACGTTTTTGTTTGTTTTTGTTTTTATATTAATGTTGATTCTCAGAAATTATTTCTGATGAAGATGTACATACAAGAACTGTAGAACATGTTGATTCTCAGCTTTTGAACAGAATTACAACGAGTAAAATCTATCCTTGTATGACACTGGGATCCTAAATCTGTAGTAGCTTAGAGTTATTTCCCTTCAATTGAAACATGGTAAGGATGCAATTGAAATCTAAGCCAAACTGCTAGAAATGCTTGTGTGATCGTTTTCTAGTAAATGACAGTTCGATATCCAAAGTATAAAGCTAATCTTTATACACTTGTTATTTCAGTAAAGATATCGCTATATAAGCATTGTTATTCTTCGTAATATTGGAGTAAGCAGGTTTTGGTAAATAGAATTTTTCAAATCCTACAGTGCTTATTTCTTAAATACAATCATAAATAGAATACTGAGTGGCTGAGAACATCTTATTATTTGTTATTAGGATAATTAATGAGAAAAATGAATGCTAAAAGAAGAAAATGTAAAAAAAAATCATCATAAAATGTTTTTACAGACGCATTTCTTACCCTAGTTCCCTAAAGGCCATAGCTTTGTCTCCGATGTAGGATTTCAAACGGACATCTGTTTCACTCCGCTGTTTGCGTAGTACCTGGTTTTCTGTGCCTGGGACAGTCGACAGCACTTTCTGTAAACATGTAGAAAGATTTTCAACATCATTACCTCAGAAGAAAAACTCGCTCTTTTTGTTCAAAATTTACAAATCTCCCTCAAAACTCCCTCATTCAAGTCCAAACTCACACAAGCTCAAAATCTACATCATGTGGTCAAATGATCTCCTAGTTACTGCAGGGTGGGTGTTATGATCATAGCAGGTGTGTCTGAATCAGATAAATGCCTCTTGAAGTTATTTTAAAGCATAAAAAGGGAAAACTGAGCAAAGCAGTTTCAGTCGTGTTTCACACACTTTCTCCCTCACTGGAAATGTGGAATGAGAGAGTTCTCTCCCCTCATTGGAGGTTTCAGAGGCTGACACCTGTGAATGCACACATTTAGGTAACACTTCTAACAAACGTTTAAATGAATGTAATGGTCTGCTAAAATCATTCCAATTTAAAGATTTGAAGGAAGTCTAAGGTATTATAGAGATGCACCTTAGCAACTAAGTTCAACTACAATGATTTATACATATCTTTTCTTGTAAATTAATCCAGTGTTATCAGAAAAACGGTCTATATCCGTGTATATGGTGGTCAATTTGGAATATTTTTTTTTAATTAGAACCCGAGTTACAAACAGATGTTTAAGTCTGTCTATTATGAAAGAAGATTTTTTTTTTTTTTTTTAAATTTTGGGCGATGTGTAAACATAATTTTTTTTGGACATATTTCACTGTTACTTGCAACTTGAAAATCTCTTTATTATGATATTTGTTAGTCGCTGTGCTGCTTGGTTTAGACACGCCTGATTGTTGATGCTCTTCCTACCGTGATTTTCTGTAAGGTGTCCTGGATCGACTCTTGCATGCATTCCTTGTTGAGCTGATGGAGTCGTCGGATGTTACGCAGATCGGAGCGGAGTTCTGTCGTCTGCTTCTTGATGTTGAGGATACCCTCCTTGATTCCTGGAGTCAAGGTCGTTTGTGAGGCGGTCGAAAGATCTGATAAACCTGTTAAATGAATGAACATGGTTCCTGGTTAGATAAAGCAACTTAATTGTGTGGGGAATCGGAAATTGTTATTTAATTGAAAAGATTATATGTATCCAATTCACTGTGTCTGTTTTTTCATGAACAAATTTCCATGTGGATAGTCATAAATTAGGAATAAGTGTAAGCTTCCAGCAGTCAATGTTTTCATTGACAATGATAAAGGAAAACCTAATTGAATTGTGCCATTATTTAATTAAACAGATCTTTCAGGTTTCCAAATGTTAAAAATCTCACTCAAATTTTTTCATGTTTAAGAAGCTTTTCAGCATGATGAAAATTTGGTGGAAACAGCATATTTTTCTCCAATTTTCCAGGATCAATTTGAAGTATTTGTTTCTTCACAATGCTGTTTCATTTCAGAACTCTTCAGTTGAAAAAAAAAGTCACCAGTTGCCATAGTAACATTAGCTCAAAATATAAACCAGAATACATTGAAGCTACAGATTCATCTAATATGCGATGATGGAAGCAGAAATCAGCTTTTTGGAATGTTTTATTTCTGTTACTTTAGAAGATACTAGACATGCTGCTGGCTTCATGCGAGAGACAGAACCAGAAGAATCAGAACAGGTCAGTTAACTCATTCACCCCTCAAATTTTATAATGGACTATTCCAACCTTTCAATTGGAAGAGTTCAAATGTGTCTTCAGGGGTGAATGAGTTAAAGAACTGGGCAGAGACAATAGCAGATATAGAATTCTAGGGAAGAGGTCAGTTAAAGAACTGGGCAGAGACAATAGCAGATATAGAATTCTAGGAAAGAGGTCAGTTAAAGGACTGGGCAGAGACAATTCTATATTCAATACTGGTCTTTATTCTGTCTTGCAGCTATTTGTTTTATAATCAGATTTAATTAATTTTATTAATTTTATTTCAAAAATCACTACAAATTATTTTAAAACTTAATTGGATTAATTTTAATTATTTAATAAAATTTATTTTATTCATATTTTGAGTTTAAAAAATCCAAAATCCACACATGTTACTATTTATAGAACATGCTGATCATTTACTATACATTGTAATTGTAAAATTTGGAAATCAATGACTATATATTTTTGTGTTTTGACTTGATCTTCAAACTATCTTCTGTGTATTGAAAATACTACTACAATGAAATAAATATGTAATTTTTATGAGAAAAAAAATATAAAAATGTTATTAAAATATGTTTCCGAGTCACACATAGTTAAAAAGAGCTTGAAGACCTCAATCTGGATAATTTAAAAATCACTTTACCCTCCAGGTACGAAACCATTATCCTAAAGATCTATGCTAATGTATAAAAGACTCTGCCAGTACAGGTTAGTGTATTATGATATGCATCTTGAAATAAACATTTCCATTACAACAATTAAGTGTAGATATCGTCTCTAGGAGTCCAGTTTCATTTTGTTCCGATAACCTTCCCTTGATGTTGGAGGAGGATAGTGTGACATTATTCAATGTGCCTGTGATATAAACACATAATTTAAACTAAATGACTTGTTTATCGTTTTATAGTGTCGGAGTAAAGAAACTTAAGGCTATTTTACCTGTATTTCACCATTAAATCTGTGTCTCTGTTTTCCTAATTAATACACCACCGAACAGATTCCAAATGCAAATTTTTTTTTTTCTTGATTTAAGATTTATTCATAGATAAACCTTCAATTCAAGGTAATACCTTTCTCCTGTAGGGACCTTTAGAACAACACTTCAAGTTAAATTCTCAAGCTTGTATAAGCTTGAATTTGTGATTAGGCCAAGAAAACATCATACTGAAGTATCAGAAATTAGACTATTTTATTTAAACAAGTTTGTATCAGAAATTGGCCTGTTTTATTCAAACAAGTATTTTTACCTGCCTTATATGTATATATAAAAGTCTACAAGAGTATTCTGCCTGTCATAATATTACCAGTAAATCATAAAATGTCCAAAAAACATCAGTTCAAAATGTTTCAAGACAGCACAAAACTAGGCAACAATTATATACCATGGCCTTAAATTGGACACGAGTACATTATTCCAGCCTTATAAGTGCAAATATACAGAATTACAAGGTTTACATGTCATCTCAAATGAAAAGTCTGTCACATTTACTGATCCAGGTATTGTTGTAAGCAAAGTGATTCAAGGTAACACAAGAGAAATAACAGAAAAAACACACACACAAAAATATACTGGATAACTATAATACTGTATTCAACCAACTAAAATTATATTGATTTTCTCACGTAATGTTTAGTCTCGGTAAGCAAAAATAGACTCCATCACGGAATTGGAAAAACTGCGAAAATCTGAAGAAATAAAATTATTTATTCAGATGATTGAATACAGTGACTCTTTAAAAGTTCATGCAAAGGAGAATTTATGTGAATGACCTTGATATTTTCACTTCAAAAGTATTAAATTAAACAGATATTTAGATCTGAAGTCAGTCAAGGTCATTCAATGTAATTCACGGTTGTGCGAAAGTGTTTGAAAAATAGGGCAATTATAAAGAAAACACTTAGGGATATATGCTACCTAACTGTAACCCGTTTCCTTAACAAAACACATCAACACTCAGAAAACTGCAAAATGTCTTTCGCGAAAGGTTATAGGACTTGTTTTTCACATAATTTCAAAAAGTAAGGGGAGGTAATTCTAATACAAATTTTAAATATATAAAGTGCAAGGTAGCATACATCCAGCGCATCTAATGAGGGTTTACAGTGGCAAATATACTGCTGTCTGTGGCAAATATACTGCTGTCTGTCCTTTTTCTTTCACAATTCAACATTTTGTCGAACCAAGAATATTTTGACAAAAAGTAATAGCAACAATTTTGTCAACACTGCCTATTGTTCAGCAAAAGCTTAAGAAAAAGGAGCAATCTGTATCCAAACTGTACAAAAGGGAGATAACTGCTGAAAAGATATTTTGTTAAAAATTTTGAAACGTTTGAATCTATTATTTTTCATTTTGTAGAAGAACTCCATAAAGCTGTAGGATTTATGAAATTGTGTCCATTACATATTATTTCTGTAACTATTTGCAATATGTTTTATCCCAAGATATCAGTTTGTGAAATAGAGTACAGACAGTGATATGTGAACAAGGCGAGGGTGCCTCGTTTTTTAAACTGTGATATATGTACCTTTCATATCTAATGCATCTTCCGCTTCCACCTCTGAAAAGTAAAAAGGCACATGCGTGTGGAAAACCTGATCCAAAGCAATATACACTCAGTTGTTCAACCTGCATTAGCTTAATTTCTAGCAGAGAAAAATACTTATATTTAGAAGACCCTTCTTAATCTCTTTATATAATAATATTTAGGTTTTAATTCATCTATTCATTCACTGAAGATACATTTGAACTCTTTTAATTCAATGGTTGGAATAGTTAATTATGAAATGTCAGGGGTGAATGAGTTAAACAATGAAATCAGCAGTAACTCAAACATTCAGAAAAAAAAATTCTCAAAACATTTTTTGGTCACTTTGAACAACTTACACAGAGTCTAATTTATAAATCTACATATTAATTTTTTTTCATTTTTTTCGAAAATCTGCCAAGCTAATTATTTGGGTTTGAAACAACTGAGTACTACCTCTATCCATTGACAGTCTTTTTGTTACACCCGACACAGAATCGACACATTACATCATCAAAACTTAGATCACTTTAATTTATTTTCCATTATAAACAGAAATATTTCCTCCGGTAAACTTTCATTGCTTCTATTTTCTATAAAAATTTGAGAAGATTTTTTTTATAGAATTATATTTAACTGATCTATAATATATCTTAATAACAATGAATAATTTACAAAAACGAAACAACTAGTGTTTATTATTCTTTGCATTATGTATCATAATATTACGTGTATAAAATGCCATTAAAAATCAATCTTGAATTCAAGTATCACATTATTTTTTACATAAACTACGAAATACACATTTTGTGAAAAGTGAATAATGCAAGTGCAAAGAATTAAATTTGTTATCCACAAAACAAAAGTACGGTAGCTATTTTTTTGTAAAAAGCATCTCTCTATCAAGTCCAAAACTCGCAGTAGTACAGTACAAAGGTACCAGTAAAGCAAGCAGAGATGAACTATCCTTTTAGTCGCCAGGATTAATAAAAACAAGAGGCCCATGGGCCTTAACGGTCACCTGAGTCTATAGTATTTATTTTTGTTGTTGAAATATGTACCAATTTGAGTAAAAAATAGTATAATGTTAACTTAACTTTGTCAGGACCATGAGCTGATCATTCCTAGACCAATTTTAAGTGAGATCGGCCTATTAGAACTTAGTAGCAAAATAGCGGCCATGGCAGCCAAATTGTATTTCTGATTGACCCGAAAAATAACAACACTTTGTCAGGACCATGAGGCGATCATTCCTATCAACTTTCAGTTCAATCGGCCCAGCAGAACTTGACTTTAAGTTTGAAATGTAAAATGTTAACGGACGATGGACGACGGACGACGGACGACGGACGACGTACGACGGACGACGGACGACGGACGACGACGGACGAAAACGGATAGCAATAGGTCACTTGAGCTAAAGCTCAGGTGACCTAAAAAGACTGCCAGGGAATAATGAAAATGAAACATTTCAGGTAATTAACATTTTATTATATCGGATATAACAATGAAAACTGAGCTGATAATTTTTGTTACCAAAGTATGGCTTACTTTGAGATGAGATAAACACAAAAATTAACAATAATAAAATTCCAATAACAGATTAACTCTGAAACTACTGAAAAGATTGGAAAAGAAATACATTTCACAATTTCAACTACAAATTATCTAGATTTGACCACAGTGGTAAAATATTTGTCCAATATTGTTACATTATCTTAATTTAAGTTCAAACAAACTTAAAACTTGAAGTATTCACAATTTGAAGTCACTAAACAATAGGGACCATGCTTATAATACAGACATAAAGAAGACATCAGTGCAAACATTTTGTCTGAAAAAAAATGTAGGTGAAAAATTGTAAAACAGGAATTGATAAAATATTGGACAATAAGAAATCAAAAAATCTAAAAAGATGTCATTGATTATTTTTGAATATAACTAAGACACTGCTTTATTACTGAAGCAGAGAAAAGGTTAGTTGCTTTCGATATTAACCTCATGCTCCAAATAGTTTTATGTTAGGAGTTAATTAAACAAACTCCATGCCACGTTTTGTGATGAAATCATGATCTACCAACTCGCAGTATTACCAGAATTAATGGATGATTTGCATTTAGCAAAGATTCTCTACTTCCAATTAAGCAACAAATTTAAATGAAATAGCAGATTATTTGTGTAATCAAACGGTGCACAATGGAAGGGATTTAGGAAGATATTAAAGAAGAAATAAAATTCAAAGAATGAAGTATGATAACTTTTTAAATCATTTTCCATACATATATGATTTGCACTTGTGTGATATATTCTCAAAAATATAACAATGAAACTTGACCAATAACCCACATATCTTGTGTGACCTTGAAATATCATGGTGTCTTATTATAATGAATGACCTTGCCACTTTACAGAACAATTAAAAGCTATATGCTATACAAGCCAGACCCCAGTGATTTGACATCCAGATCTGTGGTTGACCTCATAACTTTTGTGACCTTGATATGACCTCTACAAGATTTTTTTATTACTAATTTCAAAACAAATATTATAAGTGTGTTTATCCCTAAAGGTGATTCTGGTAACCCCTCCTGACCTCTAAAAACATTCTTTGTCAATGTTCACTGTCTTCCTGACAAGTTTAACGTAAGTGACATATGTATGTTGACCCCTAGTAACCTTGTATGACCTCTGTAACTTACTTCCAGGAATGCTCCCCAGCTGTGAGCCCCCTGTGTCCGAGGGTGTAGTACTGGCACCACTCCTGACACTGCTGGCGCGGCTGGAGTTGGTGGACACCACGGCTGTCTGTACCCAGGCCGCAAGGTTGGCTATCTGGGCCTCCATCTTGTCCATACGAAACCTGTAACCATGGAAACAAGATGGTGCCTGAGACAAAACTGAACTTCAGAACATGAAAATATAAGTTGTCAATCATATATAATACTTCCAATGACTTCCAGGAAGGTATTTACATATTGTGTAATGCAATTCCTATTAGAGTGATCTCCCTTACTAATGGGTAAACAATTTCATATTTCACTGTTTCTTCACTCGTCCGTCAAGAATTTCATAGTAAGTATTAAACATTTTTAGCAGAACTGGCATAGCATTTACTAACCTAGGTTTTGGGATAGTAAAGTTGCACACCCCTGCTCATTTTTTTGACAATTCCTCATTATAATTCAGAATCAATCAATCAGCTGATCAATTAAAAGTTACCCATCCATACACCAACCATTTCTGTTGATTTAAAGATTTCCTGTTTATCTAAGACTTCAACAGTGTTTTTAATGTGTGCCACAAAAACAGTTCAGTACAGTGGGGTCTTGTTAACCAAGATTCTCAAAATCAAAATCAAACTCCCAAAACAATAATGTTTAAATATAGATTTGTATGAGAAATAAATAATATGGATGGAAAATACAAAGAGAATTAAAAGAACAATTCTTTTAGAAAATTAAAAGGTCTCAATTAAAAAGGTTCTAATGTTCATGTACAACATCAAGAATGTATTATTTTGCCCTTTACCAATCGTCGTACTTTGAGTCTACATCTGGGGGCACGGGTTGAGGGGTCACACTCCGAGGTCGCTGTGGTAACGGCACTGAGCGCTCTGTGTCAGGGGCCACCCTGTAACTCTGTGACCTCGGAACTCCATTAGTGACTGTAGGTTTGGTAGGTGACACAGTTTTATCAGCCATGGGTGTGAATGCTAGTGAGTGCCGATTGTTATGCATTGCATGTCCTACAAAATTAATGACAAATTGTAGTTAGGTAAAGGGAATAAATTAACCAGTCTGACTTCAAGAAATGGGGCAATATACTGTAGCTTTGACTTTCTCATGAAAAAGGCATGAAATATCTGTCTTGTGACTTGAAAATATTTCATCCTGTTAACGAAACTTCCATTTGGTCACAAGAGACACAACTTCATTGTAATCGTGGTTACATAAAAATTGAAAGCGTGTTGTAACCGATTGTTGTCTTGTTGTCAGTCTAATGTTCTTTTGTTAACTTACAAAAATACATTATCAGTAGGGGTGGGGGTCTTTACTGTGGTTTGTTTACGTACGTGGATCAGTGCCTGGTCCAGTTGCCCTCTGTGGCGCAGACACGTTGCTTGCCCGTGTCCCATGGGCGACATATGTCTGAGGCGGTGCTCCTGGCGCCGGCCCTCCTGGTGCTCGAAAATGTTCATATTCCTGCGAAACAGCACTAGAAGGGGGCGGGGAAAAGGCTCTCCGAAGGGGATCCCCGGGTGGGGGCTGACTCCGACAGCCCTGGAGATGAACATATATAGGCTGGCCACGTCCGTCCATATCATCATATGAAGTCTTCTTACTGTTAGGAATGTAGCCATTTTGCATCTGGTGGTTTTCTGGGATGGGTCTCAGGTTGGGGCGCTCAAGTGAAAGCTGGCGTTCTGGGGACTGGTACATCACACGGCCATATGTCCCCGACGATGTCCCCTGACTTTTCGACATTCGTATGGGGTCAGGTGTTTGTGACCTTGGCCTTTCATACTCCATTTCCACATAAGACGGATAGGAATGAGCCATGCTGGGAGGCATCGTCTGGGCTTTCCGTACCTGAAATGTCAGCATATTTATAGAGTATTCCGGCCAGTCACTACAGATGGTCTACCAGCGGGTGTCCTTGACCAGTGATCACCTATTGTTGATTTAAACCCATTTTGGCACCAGCTTTAAGCATCAGCAACACATACGCAATGTTCAGTGTCATGAATATATATATAAATGTCATGGGGAAAAAATCCAACATTTGCAGAGAAAATATTCAACATTTGATCACTGGTGGACCGCTGACACTTGTCGACACACTGTATACTCAACACAACAAACAGTATTAACCTTAAACATCTGTAACCATGGTAACAGGAATGTCACTACCAGTGTAACAATGTTACTACTTACACACAGAAAGAGGTCTGTAACATAACTTGCTAACAAATACGTATACAGACGTCATAAGGCCTACACAGATTGCAGTCCCCTGCACTTGCACTGTTTGACCCAACATTGAAAATGTTTAAAAATAACCACACTTGACCCAACATTGAAAATGTTTAAAAATAACCATACAAGTGTATTTAAAGGCAAATTTCATAATTGCCATAAAACTGACTTTTATGACTTGAAAAGTTGCCACACAGAAATGACTATAGCATGGCTGCTACACCTGCAACTTGAACTTTTTAAAAATAATCTCATTTCATTGTAGAGCCGTTGGCAGGTATGCTGATATTAACATGAAATACCACAGTTTGAGTGATGAATGTGTTAAAAGATGATCAGTATCTACATCAAATATTACACTGAAACAACTTTATTTGATCGCTAAGATGGCTAAACCCTTCCCATCATACGTTGGTGTTTTTCACTTCACCTGTTGTGATAGGTCTATATGAAGGAACAAACCCTTCTTCAGGAAAAAACAATTTCTTCAGTTTGGAAGTTATTTCCTCAGAAGATAAATGACCAAAGAACGACAAGGAATGTATTGTGAAGACAGAGATCTCTGTTTGACAGAATATTTACGTGGTCTGTGATGGCTGTAGCTGGTGACTCCCCAGGGAACCCCTGCCCCCTCTGTCCTGCAGGAGGCTGGACAAGTTTGCCCCGGGTCTCAGGGGCTGGCTCCTTGATCTTCTGGGGTTCAAAACTGTCACATTCATGGATCTTCAATACAGAACGGTCTCGGATATCCCTGAAAGGTCAAAGTAATATATATAGAAGGCAAAGGTCAAGGTTAATCGAAAAACCAAGGTTATCCTGAACCTGTAATACTGATTTTTTTTTGTAAGACTCAAAATGGGCATTATGGAGAATTTACAGTAAGGGATACAGAATTAACCTGGAGTGTTCTTATTGTATTGACAGAAGACTTGCTATTCTATAAACCTCAAGTTAGTCCCAAAACTTCAACCAAGTTTAATTAAGCTGTTTTTGAACCCTAAAATATGAAAATATGGTCCAGCACACTGCTCACACTCGGTATAAATGCTTATAACCTCATAAAAGACAACTGTGTATTGAGTGTGATGATCCAACACTGTCTGGAAAAAACTTGCCCAAAACGTTTAACCTCAGAAGGTGGGACGCCAGCGTGACTACATTAGCCCACCTATTCTCTGAATACGCGAGCTAAAAATATGATTTATAAAGGTTTCTGAATTATATAGAATTTTTTTCGTTTAGACAAGGTTAAGGGCAATAGCTGTTAAATACGGTAGTTTGTAGAATCAATTTCACAGGATGTCTTACAAAATGATATTTCCTTACGCGCAATGACAGCTTAAGGTAAAAGTATATGCAACTCTGCAAGGAGTTCATTTTGTTTCTAAGATTGTTTTTCAACTTATTAATCCCCATACCGTGACAACATGATTTATTGTATGACATAAACAATAACAACTTCATATGATTTATGCGGAAATGGAAGTAAAGATCATATCTGTTCTGGAATTAGAAATAATCACCTTGAGAATCACCTTGAGAAACAGAGACTTTCTGAAATTTGATCCATTTTTATGATTTTTATTTTCTCTGTTAAATTTCTTACTCAATGGGGCAATAATATAATGAAGAATATGTGACAACCAGTTCCTGACACTCCTTAATTCAACCTTCGTGATGACATCAGAATTTGTCATGTCGAAGTCTGTCTGATATCTTAGACATTAAGAAAGTTATTGCAACAGATTTAAGTTTGGTAATGATATCAGAGCTTGCCACACCAAGGTATCGGTACACCATCAAGATATTATTGAAACAGATTGACTTAGAAATAGTAAAATTTGTAAAATGGTATTTATAGCCTAGCATGAACAGCAACGAACAATAAAATCCTGGTTTTCCTAGGGACACCACAATAATGCAAACGTCAAAACCCCATTAATTAAGGACAACAAATGGAGCTGTTAAAATCATCAATGGCCTTGAGGTTCAAATTGATGATAAAAAAAAAAAAAAAACGGAAAAACCCAATCTATCTCATAAAATATTTGTGATGAATCATGATGGATCAAGAATTTATTTGATATTTTATTGAAGATATCATTAGTCAAACCTGTTTTTTTCAATTATTAACCAATCAATTGCATTTTGAAGTCAAAGAATGAAAATTGCACCTGCTGCCATAGCAACAGCTGTCATTTCTTTTAAGGGGAGATAATTACCGTAAGTCTTCCAGTTGGTAATAAATGGAGCTCTTTGCTTCAAGGACATATATCTTCCTGCGAGGTGACTCGAGTATTTCCAGGTTCAGTTTCTGTGGAAATGCACGAACAAACATGGCTCGCACAGTGTCGAGGTGTGTGATTTCATTGGGTAACACAGCACGCCGTGTCTCCTCCCGGTAAATGAGAAACACAAAACCTGAAAATTAATTCAACTAACAATATAATCATAAAATTTGCAAATTTCCTTCCTTCAGGCTTTTTTTTTTAGAAACATCAATCTGGTAATATATATGTTAAATAAAAAAAATTAAAAAAAACATTATTTTTGATACAAAAGGAACAATACAAATGTACTATACTTGAAAAGATCTATGTATACATGTGTCATTAAAATTGTGGGTATTTTTGGCACAATCATCAAATGTATTTCAAAGTGATCAGATTTGCCATGTGGTGCTAAGAAAACAATTCCAGATTATTTCAAGTTAAAATTTACTACAAAGTATATGTCACAATCTAATTGATAAAACAATTTTAACACAACTTTGACACAATGGTCACATACTAATCATTTTATATTGAGGGGTAAGAAAAATCCCAGTGACCTCCCAGTCAAGACAGCCGACTTTGATTTTTTTGATAAATGTATGATATATCTAGATAAGCATTGTTTAATTTCTAATAATTGTGAAACAGGTCTTAATGACATATATAAATCACTCATGTGTTTGCCAAGATAGAAACTTAACCCTTTCACCACTCTAGACCATAATGGACTCATCCAGATCAATGCATGGTAGAGTCTATTAAAGTTACATAGGGGTGAAAGGGTTAAAAGGGATCTTAATGTAGGAGGAAATCAGTAAGGGTACACACAGAGAGTTAACCCGCATGGTCCTGCAGGTGACCGACACATTTTCACACCTGATCATCAGTGAACTGAACACTGGTCGCCCCTGCGCACCACCCGATCAAAAATAATTTATTGAGTTTTGAATGTCTTAATGACATCTGAAATTGGAAATCTGAACATAACACACTAATTCTTTCTGATAGATAAGGATGAGAAAAAGATATGTAAAGATGGCCACAATTTGTAATTGTCTAAATGAGAAAATATACTACAAAACATCTATCTGTATGGATGGGAAACTGCTACAACTTTTTGGGTTATAATGTTTCATGGTATGGAAGGGAAAGTGGAATAGTATACAGGTCATACAATAAAACAGATAGAAAGTGATAAATTCCATGATTATTTAGAGAAATATTCAGCAGGGTTTTCTGTGCTGAAGGTAAGGAGAGGGTTTCAGAATGTAACAAATATGCATGCATGACTACAGTATTTAAACTTGTAATGTCCTTTACACTTAACAATTTATAGGAATGACTGTAGAACCTTACAAAATTCTAAAAACTACCACACCTTTTTCAGTTAGTTTGTAATAACTCATTCACCCCTGAAATTTCATAATTAACTATTCCAATCATTGAATTGGAAGAGTTCGAATGCGTCATCAGGGGTGAATGAGTTAAATGATGGTGAGAGATGATCAGACAACAAGAAAAACAACAGCCTAGTCATACTTATAAATGGTGGGGTACATGTTATGGCAAATACGGTATTATAATACATCCAACTGACTCATTGTCATACATTTCTGTTGTATATATTTTGTAATGAGGTTCATGCTCTACATATGTCTTATCAACTTTACACGGAAAATAAATATATACTTCAAAGATAAATCACGGTTAAGTAAACCACTTAAAGTTTACTCAAAACACTGTACACACACACACATCTAAACACCGACTTAAACGAACTCAATACATAGCTCATGTATTTGAATATTGATCGTAATGATAAGTACCTGTGTTTACCTTGGCAATGCTTTGCACTTCAGATAAGGATTCAGAATGTATTTATAATCTTTCAGTAATCATAACACACTATAATAATCCTATTTATCAAAGTATAAATTGACATTTAATGAAATACAGGTTTTTACTGTTGTTGATATTTTTCTGTGTATTTAATCTTTATTGCACTTCATAAACATTCAGAAGGCACATGTTTCTTTTAAGAAAGGATTCACTTGAGTTTTTTTCATGTTTGTTAAATATGCATTTTTCCAATTCATAGTGCTAGCTTTTGACAGTGGTACAGGCATCATGCCTTCAACTTTCAAGTGCTGATATTTCTCCTTAAAACAATGTCCTGAGTCCCTTTCCTACTTACCCATAGGTCGTTCATAGGTGTTTGGGGGTGACCGGACGATGGGTAGACTTGACCGCATGTACCCGCCTCTGGTGAAGTTAGTGACCGGACCCTCGATGTTGGACATGGTGTCGGAATCCTCATATTCACCCGATACACTCCCAGGGTTATACGTCACCACAGTGGCCCGTCGTGCTGGGTCACGTGTCCTTCGACCCTGAAATAACAAAAGGTCAAGTTTAGAAAGTTGATGGTCAAGGTCAATGTAAAATGTCTTCTTTCTTATTTCAGAAATAATTGATTGCTTATATATATCGCTTTAATATTTGTTTTCTCTAGATTAGGAAAGTTAAAGGTCAAGGGCATTTTTATACCTTTTACTTTGTTCAAGTTAAAAATAGTTAAAGGTCATATCATTTCTTCTACAGTTCTTAGGTAAAACAAGTCAAGGTAATGTCTAACTTTTCCATATTCAGGAATGAAAAGCAAGACATTCATTGTAATATTTCTATATCGTAATATCTACAGTTTAATTTTCTATTAACATTTTTACAACACTAGATTTTTTTTAACACAGCATGCAACAGTCAGTGAATAAATTGTAATGCACTCCATAACACTTGTACATTTGCATGTATAAAAAATAATATATTGAAATCAAAGTTTACAAAAAAGAAAATATATAAACTTCAACAGCTAAATACTTCCTCTGTCTTTTTCCCCCATCTTGGTGCATTCAGTGAAAGTCCAAATCCTGACATGGCATAAATATCACAAGCTCATTCAGAAGCCCCCCCCCCCCTCTAAAAAATAGTCAAGACCATCGTGATTTCTGCCTTGGCAGGTCTTGTATCATGTCCATCACAACCAACAACTAGTCAGTGTATATACAACACTGGTTGATTTCCTTCTGTCTAACTGACACAAACCTGTCATTGTTTGTAACCTGTGTAGATTTCCTTCCAGTGTGTGCCTATCTGTCAGAATCTAGTCTTGGTAGAACTAGACAGCTTCATATATATCTCTTATAAATGTGTCAGGTTCTACTTCTGAAACATATCCCTTACAAGCCTAGCCTCTGTATGTCATCCCAGCGCCACCCCCAACATATCACGGGTCAGTCACTCCCTCCAACGGTCAATCCCACCCATCACTAAATCCCAAAATCTCTTACACCAAATCATCTTTCTTTACAAAGACACTTGCTGTGATTTTCAAATTAAAGATTTATTCGTCAGTTTTCTTAATTTAATTTGAGTCAAATAATATGTTTGAAATTTATCACAAAGGAGCATAAATTCAAACTATAATTGATTTATTTTCAGTCTCAAAATCTTACAAATAATTGTATATAGAATCGTTTTCAGTTTTCTTAATTCAACCTGACAAAGCTTTTATTAACAGGATTGAATCTAGTGACAGCTTTCTGGCCATTTATTATGGAGTCCCAGAAATATAACATATTAGTTCTACTGCTGATTAAACCCTAAAATAGCCCTGACAGGCCATCAAAATAAAGGCCAGACAGAGGAAGCAAATCATTCCATACAATTCTAAATAAAGGTCTCATTTTTACATTGATTTATTACATCCTTAAAGACACTTTTATTTTACAGGTTCCACATTTAGAAACAGGTCTAATGTGTACCATTTTTGATAATTCATTCTCTACTTGATGAAACACATGTTGTTGTGGTTTTTTTAAACAGTCAAGACAAAAGTTATCAGTTTTAAGGGAAGCAGATTGCAGGTATAACTCTTGTGAAGGAGGATATAGCCTTAACTAGTTAAGAACCTCCAACTTTATTTTTGATTTGCTCCACTTTAAGCCTCAGAGGAGCAAAGCTCATGTGTATATAACATAAGGGACCATTTACAGACTTAAGATAACAAGAATTCCACGGAAGTGGATGTGTCGCCTGCGCAGGAAGCTAGGAGATTACGAAGAAATAGATACACTTTTCATTTCAAGAAATAATGTTAAAAGTAAGCAATAATCATAGATTATGTTTTTGGATGGCATCATTTTGTTATATGATCTGTTATTCTGGGAAGAATACTCTGAGTTTTAAGGAACTTGCTATGGATACTCATTGTCTCAATTCCAAGTTTAATTTATATGATTTGTTGGATGGTTTCCCATAAATAAATGAATAAACTTGTTGATTATGATGTTAAACAGCTAGTGTTGTCAATAACATTTGGAGTAAGACGGCATTTCAGAGGTATGCACGGTGGGTCAAGTGGTAGATCGAAGCCATCCAGTATACAGTTTAAATGAAGTTTCTATTTATAGTAACAGTGACCTTGACCTTTGGCCTTTGGACCTGAAAAGCAATCCCAAGCAAGCACTTTTGGTAAGGAAGCACTGCATGAAGTTTGAGTTTGATCGGCCAAAGGAAACTCAAGTTATCGCACGAAAAACCTCTGTTTGGACGACGACGACACCGCCACCAACGCCGACAAAGCAATACCTATGTGTCACCAGCTTTTCGCAGGCGACACAAAAATATGTTTTATAGTTCTGCTTAATTCTTCTTATCGAGACTAACACAAATACCAGGTATAAAAATGTTAGTTAGCATGTGTTAACTATTAAAATGGATGTACACTGCTATTTTTTTTAAGGGAAACAACTCTTACAGAAAATGACACAGATATAAATTGTAATGCAACATACAGCCTTAATTGATAATTATAAGTATCCTATTTTTCTATTTTTTTAACTGCTGTCACCCTATGAGATACACTTTTCCGAGTAGTCTATCAATCCCACAGACAAATGTAGATATGTTATCTATAGGACGAGAAAGTGACTGCATTACAAAGTGTTACTGTAAACGTATATCTTCATCAACAATAGATGTGTTGGTAACTTGCCAGGTACAACAAAAAGCACAGCATGACATTTACTAGAGCGATACAATCATGCCAGCGCCAACAAGTTTTCATACCTCAAACAAGTTCCAATTTCCAACCTTTTTTTAACATATGAGCATAAAAATGTTGTGTCGAAAATTACACTAGAATTAAAGCAATACATTTGTGACATTACACTGGGCACTATACTACATGTGATGGTTGTAATACTCTGTGTAACAGATACAGTATCTGTCTTTATAAATCAACCGTTGATACAGAGAAAGAAAACAAATATTTTGAGATTATTTATGTCACATGACTTTTTCCAACCCCTCACATAGTTTTCTCCTGTTGCTGCTGAAAAAGACCAAGTTCTGACCGGACCTTTGAAGGAAAAATCCTCATGTTTGTGACCTGATAGACAGTACAATGACATACAATGTCATGACAAAAAAACACCTGAATAAGATGACATCTTGGAAACAATAAAATACGACATCACAATAAAGTTTTGGCGATAGCGAACAAGGTAAAAAATCTGGATAGAAAACAATTTCCAAATGCTAACTAGAACTGTCATCCGGAGGATAACTTTAAATACAGCAAATGCTGGTAGTAAATACACCTATAGGTTTCTGGACAACTTATTGGAACACATTACTGACAGGAGAAAAGAATCATTACAATAGGGAATCAGTGGATGAATCAGTGCGTTTTCATCAAGAGCTGGGCAAAGACAAGATTCCTGAAGCAAGAATTGGGAAAGACGATCTGGAATCGTAACACCCCTTGGGTTGATAATTCCATATCAAACTTCATGGTATTGGGTTATATGATTCATCCTGTCTAGTGCGACCTGATGTCTAAAATGATCACTTTTCATAAATCAACTGTCAGGAGATACCACCTGTCCAGGAAGACCACCTGGCAAAACAGAACTTTACTAAAAGTCCACCTATCACAATTAAGGAACAATATACCAAAGGGATTTCAATCATCAGACCACCTGTCCATGAGAGACCACCTGACTTGTAGGACCACATTTTACCAAGTGATGATCATGCATACATGTTTACACTAAAGTATCTATGCCTCCTCAAAGTTTTAATGGGAGAAAAACAAATTAAGGATTACAATTCCTCAGACTGAAGATTCTTTCCTTCAATGTTTATAATAATCAACAAAGATAACTAAAACAATTTGTTACCATCACCTGCTGATCTATACGTCCAACCCTTCATCTTTTACACTTACACGCATGTTATTGTAGGCTGTGCCAATAAATTACATGTGTTAGGTTAAGTCCTTTTAAATTGGCACATTCTGCATGCTGTGGTTGTCAGTTCATCAACGTTTGCAGTTTGCCAAACATGTCAAACATTATAATGACCATGATGAACACCATATGCCAAACATTATAATGACCCGATATACAACATGCCAAACATTTTAATGACCAAGCAAGTTATCCATATGTACTTTATCATGTGTTCTGTAAAGATATTTAGGAACAAGAAAAAAAGGATAAACTGTTCATGTCTTGTCTTTGTATCCGAAATATTCTGTATGTTACAAAATTATTGTTATTCAAATGTCCTTTGCAATAAAATATATTAAACAACAACTAATCTTGAACAGAAATGTATATCCTAATACACGGGTTACAAAATAATACTAATTCAGCCGAGATGTAGTATTCCGTCTTTTCGTATTGCAGAGTTATCTGCTATTGTGAACATGCAGGTATTGATTGTTACGTCATTATTTTGTGTGAGAAAATTACCTCATTTTCTCAAAAATTTATGCATTATTCTCACAAACAAATGACGTAACAATCAATACCTGCTCACAAGAGCAGATAACTCTGCAATACAAAAAGACGGAATAAGATGGGTTTACTCATATAATAATTTAACATTTTCTGTCCAATTGAACTTAAACATTACTAATACTTCTGTTCTGAACACACCCGTTCACATAAGAGAGGTTCAATAATTATGTAAACAGGAACTGAATTGTACAAGTACCTTCACTTTCACTGACAGATGTATGTGACCATGGAGATAACTTTAAAGGCACAAAAGACACCAGTACATTACCAACACTCTAAAAAAAAGGTAGTCTTTGCTCTTCCATTCTTTGTCACCTAGCTAACTTGACAACTTTCTATTTTCGTTTTCCATGTCAAATTTACCAGCTTACAAAGGTTAAGTCCATTACTCTTTGAAACACTGACAGCAGTTTTCTTATGAAGACAGAATCTTTAAACCCTTTCAACACTGTAGACCATAATGGACTCGTCCAGATCAATGCATGGTAGAGTCTACTAAAGTTACATAGGGGTGAAAGGATTAA